CTGAGGGGGATCTAGTGGCCTGTTAAAAACTAGTCAGAGGGGGCCGCAGGGGGAAAGCCGGAGGCAGCAGTGTCCTTCCAGCCCACCTCATGCCTGGGACAAGCAGGACATTTCCCTGGGGTCTGCTCATGTCTTGTGGGGGCTGGGCCTGGGAACGCCATCACTGCTGCTGCCTGGGGCTGCTGTTACGGTACGCTCACCCCCACTCTGGGGGTCCTGCCCCCCTGCCCCCTTCCCCATCCATTCTCCAAGACTGTCGGTACCAAGGCCTGGAGCCGCCCTCTCCTTGAGGCTCGGACCCCAAGAGCCTCTCCAGGGGCCTGACCATGTCCGAGCCCCTTCCCCAGGACAGAGGAGCAGGCGGAGGCCCCAGCTCAGGTGCTCACCCTGGACGCTGACCCTGGCGATGGTCTCTGCGGAGCCCACCCTGTTGCTGACGACGCAGCGGTAGGTGCCCGTGTCCTCGGCCTGGGCCGGGCTGATGCGCAGGATGCTGTCCCGCAGCGTGGCGCGGTCAGAGAGGAGGCCGTTGACTTTGCCCCACTGGTAGCGCAGGGGTGGCGTGCCGTGGGCCAGGCACTTCAGCTGCACCGTCTCGCCCGCTCGCACCGAACTCTCGTCGGGCAGGCTGGTGGCGTAGGGCGGCACTGGGGAAGGCAGGCACCATGAGGGGTCCCTTTGGGGTATGGGACCTGCCTCCCCCTACATTACACCACCAGGCATGGGGACAGCATGAGGTTAAAGGTCAAGTGCACTCAGCCCCCCCGCCTTTCACTGGCAGACCCTGGCCGCATCTCACTTTCCACGTCCAGCGTGACGAAGGCCTCGGAGAAGCCGGCCGCGTTGCTGGCGTTGCAGATGTACTGCCCGGAGTCCTGCTGCGCCGCTCGTGGGATGACCAGGGTGTTGTTCATCACTTTGTGCTGCCAGGGCAGCGGTGCCCGCAGCTTGGACCAATGGATGCTGGGGGCTGGGTCACCTGCAGGGACAGAGGCAGGTCAGAGTCGCCCGCTAGCCAGGCTGTGGTGGCCAGCAGCACGGCACGGCACGGCACCCCCAAGATGGGCAGCCATGCACGTCTCCAACACACCAGGTCTCTGCAAGGTGCAGGGATGGAGATGGATAGACAGAGGGGGCAGGGATGGGGACAAATGTACAGACAGACCCACTGCAGAGGGGCATGCACGGGGACACGCAGGTGGATCAAGGGCTGGGATCTGACCCGGCCCACACTCACATACCCGTGGCAGAGCAGTGCAGCGTGGCTGTCTCTCCGGCCACCACCGTCAGCGTGGGCTCCACCGTGACCTCAGGGGCACCCGGGGTCCTGTGGGCAGCTTGCACGGTCACCTCCACCTGCACCTGGGCAGAGCCCACGGGGTTCTGGGCCACGCACACGTATGTGCCGGCGTCCTCAGGCTTCACAGGTGAGATCTGGGGGTGCAGAGATGTGAGGGAGTGATGGCTCCTGCCAGGCTGGGGCTGGGGTGCTCCCCTCCTCCCTGGAGACTCAGCCCCTTCCTGCTCAGCAGGGTTGATACAGGCTGGGGCACTGGCCTAGGAGCCAGGACTGCAGCAGGGATAGCCACCCTGGCTCCTCTGCTGCTGGCCCCTCCATGCCCCCAGGGAGCAGGGCAGGACGGGGGTGCTCTGTGGCTGCGGCCATGTGTCCTGCTGCCCCAGGGACCCCCGGACCGTGGGTGCGTGGGGGGTGAAGATCCATGGGGCCCAGCTCACCTGCAGCACGGCTTGGCTCTCCAGGGGCAGCAGCATCTGGTGCTCGATCTTCTGCCGCACGCCCAGCCGGCTCCAGCGGACCAGGGGGCGGGGGTCGCCCCGGCCGAGGCACTCCAGGCTGAGGGACTTGCCCACCTTCACCGTCACGGGGCCCTCGGGCATCACGGAAACCGTGGGGGACTCTGCAGGGGCGGAGGTGTCAGGGAGTCTGCAGGCGGCAGCAGCAGGGGCCGGCTGGCCCCGACTGTGGTGTCTCCGGGGCTGCGAGCTGGGCCCCGGGCTTCCTCAGCCACTGCTCACCTTGCACCATGAGGTTGACCACGCTGCTGGCTATCCCAAAGCGGTTGGAGGCCACGCAGTGATAGGTGCCCTGGTTGCTGGCGCGAGCCTGGGAGATGGTGATCACCGAGCCGTTGGGGCTGATCTTCACGTTGTCTGGGGAGGCAGAGACGCCGCTGAGCCAACCCCTGCCCTGGCCACAGAGCGCCTCTGGGGGAGGCTTAAAACCCCCTGACACATGGAGCAGAAAGCAGGGCAGGGGACAACCAACAGAGCCCAGAAACCTGGAAAACCCGGTAGCAGAGCACAGGCATCGCTCCACCTAGATCATCCCTGAGCAGGGCCTGAACACCCCCAGTGATGGCGGGTCCCCCCTTTCCTGGGAATAAACTTTTCTAACGGCCCGGCTGGAGGGGGAAGCCGGGGCTGGGGTAACTCGGAGCTCCCCGGCAGCCAGTGCTCCTGGAAAATGCCCCGCAGAGGTCCCTTGTGCGAAGCCAACCCTGTCCCCTGGGGCGCTGGCGCTGAGCGGCTGTGGGGCTGGCAGGGACAGCCCCAGGGCATGCCGTACCTTGCAGCTGCAGGCCGGGGGCCATCCTCCAGGTGATGTTGATGGGCCGCGCGCCGTTATGGATGCGGCACTTGAAGGATGCATCCTCGCCCTGGCGCACGGTGGTGCTGTGCGGGTCGATGGAGATGATGGGGCTCTGCAGGCCTGCGGGAGGGGGGGAGGCACAGGTCAGGAGTCCCTGGAGCCCACGTCCCCACTCTCCTGCCCACCACCCACTGGACTCACGGTAGCCGGAGCCATCACCAGAGGAGACGGTGATGGTGATGGAGGCCTCCTGGGAAGCGGGACCGCTGCTGACCCGGCAGACGTATTCGCCCGAGTCGGCCACGGAGACCTGGGCCAGCCGCAGCCGGGAGCCGGAGACCTGCGGGGAGTCGGTGAAGGCTCAGTCCGGGGACAGTCGCGGCAAGGAGTCCTCCCCCCGTGACACCAGAGCTGCGGACGTGACCTCCTGCCCATGGCTCCTGCGTCTGGGCGGCCACGAGGAGCCCTGCCCTGCTCAGGCCCAGGGACACGCCGGTGCTGGGAGCACCCTGTCAGTGGGAAAAGGAGGGGTGGACGGCGCGGCCCCTACCTGGTGTTTTGCCGGGAGGGAGCCATCGCGCTTGTACCACGTGACGTGGGGCTGGGACTGGCTGGCCACCACGCAGCTCAGGTCCACGGTCTGTCCTTCGACAACGGAGGATGACGAAGCCTCAACCCGGACGGGCGGCGCGAAGCCTGAGGCTGGGGGCGGAAGCGGGAGGGTTAGACCTGGGGCAGGGTCTGCGCACGCAGCTGAGAAATGAGGGGGAAGCGGTTTCTAAAGGGGCAGGTGCAACCCATACAGAGCCCACGGGGCCCCTGAGACGACCCAGACAGTGGGATGGGGTCCCTCAGCACCACGAGCATGGCCCCTATCTTGCTGGGAGAGTTGCACCCACCCCCCAACAAGACTCCGGGAGCCCCCGACACCGTCCCTGCCGGGCTGTTTGCAGAGGAGCTGGCGGTCCTGGAGGGATGCACCCCTGGGCCCTGCCACGGAGCACAACCGACTCCCAGGCAAGGGACTTGCCCAAGGCCACACCCCGAGGCTGTAGCAGAGCAGACCGACAGAGAGGTGGGCCAAAGATCTCCCCCCCCACCACCGGGACCACACGCTGAGCCGACTTACGGCGGGAAGGGCTGGCGTCGTCCTCGATGGTGACAATGAGAGCGGCCTCCCGCGTGACTCCGCCAGCACTGGCGCGGCACACGTACTCGCCCGAATCGGCCGAGGAGACCTGGGGGATGCGCAGGTGGGAGCCGGAGACCTGAGGGGAGCAGCAGTGGTCGGGAGAGAGCCGTGGACCGGGAGCTGAGAGTCCTGTTCACCCTCCGGACCGGGGGCTGTCTCCTCTTGCCTCCGGAGACCCCAGCTGGCTGATTTCTGCTGGCTGCCATCCACCTCCGGGCTCCCCTCCCACCTGCCCCGGAGACCCCCACCCCGGGGCCAGCAGGGCTGGAGACTCCCGCCTGCAGCTCTGCCCCGGCCTCCGTACCTGGTGGTTGTCCGGGAGGGAGCCCCCGCGCTTGTGCCACGTGATCTGGGGCTGCCCGGCCACCACGCAGTTGAGGTCCAAGGTCTGCCCCTCAGCGAGGGAGGATGACGAGGACTCGATGCGGATGGGGTGAGTGGTGCTGGAGGCTGGGGGAGGAGAGGGGTGATTATATGCTGGTCAGATCCCCGCCGGCTCCTGGCCTCCGAGGAAGGAGGCAGCCACTATGCCTCACTGCCCAAGCGGAGGGGCACAACGATCACTGCTCGGACCCCGTCTCCGGGGATCCCGTGCCCGCGGGCAGCTCTCGTGCCCGCACGCTGCCCGCACTCACAGTAGTAGGAGCCAGCGCTGCTGGGGACGGTGACGATGACAGAGGCCTCCAGGGAGCCGGCACCGTTGAGGACGCGGCACACGTACTCCCCCGAGTCGGCCGGCGAGACCTGCAGAAGGCGCAGCCGGGAGCCCAGCACCTGACAGGGAGAGGAGAGGTGAGGGCCAGGCGCTCGCGGGGTGGGGAGCGCAGCCCCGGAGAGCTCCTCCAGCCCTCGCCGAGTCCCAGCCGCTGCCCCGGTGCCTGCCCTGGCGCGAGAGTCTGCTAAGGCCTCGGATTTCCAGAGCACGAGGCTGCTCCTGGAAGTCTCCCCCGCCCCACGGCACCAGCCGCCTGCGGGTGCTGTCTCCATGCCACGGCCCGGCTGCAACAGACCTGATGGAGCCTGGACCTCCCCCAGCCCCGCCGAACCCCTGTACCTGGTGGCTAGCTGGCAGGGAGCCCCCGCGCTTGTGCCATGAGACTCTGGGGTGCGAGTGGCCGGCCACCATGCAGTTCAGGTCCAGGGTCTGTCCCTCGATGACGGAGGACGAAGAGGTCTCGATCCTCGCTGGCGGCGTGACGCCCACAGCTGCAGGAGGACAGAGGAGAAGGATGGAGGTGTCTCAGCACGCTGCGCCGGGCCCGCGGCTGGATCCCGCCACGGGAAGGCTCCCCGGCCCGATCCATTACTACTGGAGTTTCCCAGGTATCTGGGCCTTGCTGGTGGGCTCGTGGGGCTGGGAGGGAGCTTCCCTCTTCTCCCATCACTCGCTCCACGTGTCAGGGGGTTTCTGAGCCTCCGCCAGAGGTGCTGGGTCCTGCTGCAGCCCAGGCCGGCGATGGGCACTGGGCTGTGGCAATGCTGCTGCTCGCACCAACCCTGCAGGGTCCTGGCTGGAGGGGCTTGCCCCTGCGCTCAGGCTCAGATCGACGCTGCACTGGGGCAGGAAGGGATTTCCCCCCTGCACAGACTGGTCCAGACTGAGGGGGCTTGCCTTCCTCTGCTGGGGTCTCTTGAGCATCTATTAACCCCCTTGGACAGCAGTGGGACGTTGACCGCCATCGTCCCTCTGCTTTCCCTGGTGCAGGGCTGGGCGTGATGCCTGGTGCTGTGCCAGGGGCGACTGTGGTTTTGCTAAGAGGTTAGATACAGGTTTGTCTGGGCTGGTTTGCATTGGGCTGATCCTGCCTCAGGCCAGGGCTGGACCAGAGGCGACCTTTGGAGGTCCCCTCCAGCCTCACTTCTCCAGGATGTTACGACCCCAAGATAAGGAATCAGCCAGGGCCCCCTGCACGTATCCTCCGGGCACGTGCCCCGCTGAGCCCGGGAGAGGGCACTGCTGGCGCAGCCCAGGTTCACGGTACTCACAATAGGAGCCGGCACTGCCCTCGATGGTGACGATGAGAGAGCTCTCGTGCGGGATGCCGCTGGTGACGACGCGGCACACGTACTCGCCCGAGTCGGCCGCGGATACCTGGGGGAGGCGCAGCCGGGAGCCCGAGACCTGAGGCAGGGAGAGGAGGGAGCACGGAGGCCGGGCGCGTGAGCGGGGACAGCAAAGGGGTGGCGAGGAAGAGCCACCCTCTGCAAGGCCGCGACCACCACCAGAAAGTCCTCCCAGGCCTGCCTGCCCCGCGTACCTGGTGGTTGGCCGGGAGGGAGCCCCCACGCTTGTACCACGTAACCTGGGCCGGCGACGGCCCTGCCACGATGCAGTTCAGCTCCAGAGTCTGTCCTTCGGCCACGGAGGACGATGAAGACTCGATCACCACCGGCTGGGTGACACCCGAAGCTGGGAGGGCGAGGGCGAGAGCGGGGAGGGTCATGGCAGGGAACCACATCTGCTGCCTTGCAGTGCCGTGGGAGACGGACAGAGGACCCGAAACTCAGATTCAGCCCATCCTTTCTCGTGCCCCAGGAGGTGGGATCACTCCTCAGAGAAGGGGCTTGGAGACCCAGCAAGCAGAGGCCAGGCAGCATGTACCCCCCAAACCCCAATGGGCTCCTCGCGAGGCCCTCTGCACGCAGCAGCCCGGCACGGCCCCGACTCACAGTGGGGCACGGCACCGCTGTGCTGGATGGTGACGAGGACGGACGTCTCCTTGGTGGCGCTGCCGGTGCTGACGCGGCACACGTACTCGCCCGAGTCGGCCGGCGTGACCTGCACCAGCCGCAGGCGGGAGCCGGAGACCTGGGGAGAGCCACGGGGAGGCAGGAGGTGGGAGACGGGAAGCCGGGACAGCGCTGGATACACCCCCTGCGGTGTCCCCTTCACGAAGGACTGACCGGGCTCTGGCGATTCCTCCCTCCCTCCACCCTGCAGCTCTCCCTAGGCTCCCTCGCAGGCCTGGTGCTGCTGTCTACCCCAGGTCTGACAGCGAGGACGCCTGATGGGTCCCCCGAGGGAAATCCTAGCCCCCAGCTCGGGCTCCACAGCTCCCCAGAACCCCACCGCGGCCTGAGCACCGCAGGACGCGCTCTCCAGTGCATTCGCTCTCTCCAGCTCCAGACTCTTCTGCTCCTTGGACCTCTTGCAGGACGGGAACCCAACCCTCAGGCCAAGGCAAGCCAAGACCTGCCCTGGTTTCCCTACCTGGTGCCTGGCGGGCAGGGAGTCCCCGCGCTTGTACCACGTGACCTGGGCCGAGGACTGCCCGGCCACCACGCAGTTCAGGTCCAAGCTCTGCCCTTCGGCCACGGAGGACGACGACGACTCGATCCTCACGGGAGGCGTGATGCTTGTGGCTGCGGGGCCCAAAGGGGCAGGTTACAGCGGGTGGCCCAGGCTGCAGCTTCGCAGCACCACGGGCATTGCACACGTTGCTGGCTGTCTCCCGGAGTCTAGCACAATCCCATCGTTTCAGGCCGCTCCCAGCACCTCGGCCGTGGCTTGTCCAGGCTCGGATACCCCCCGAGCCCCTCACCCTCACTCTCCGGGAGCCTTCCCTGGGTTTGTGCTCACATCCTGCCCATGCCTCCCAGTAACTCCCAGCACGGTCTCTGCGCACCCTGGGACGGGAGCCCCAGGCAGCGACACGGCTGTCGTGTCCCACCACCGACCCCTGAGCATCAGACAAGCCCCGTGTGGCCCCGACTCACGGTGGGACACGGCACCGCTGTGCTGGATGGTGACGAGGACGGACGTCTCCTTGGTGGCGCTGCCGGTGCTGACGCGGCACACGTACTCGCCCGAGTCGGCCGGCGTGACCTGCACCAGCCGCAGGCGGGAGCCGGAGACCTGGGGGAGAGGCGTGGAGAGAGGAGTGATGGTACAATGGGCAGAGTGGCAACTCCTCCACCGCCTGCTCCTTACCCTCAGCCCTTCCCCTACACCTCACATACAATGAGGAATCCCCCGTGCTGCCTCTGAGCACAACACAACCCCCTCATGCCCACGGCAATGCAGGGAGACCCCCCCAGCCCTGCCCTGGCGTCCCTACCTGGTGCCTGGCGGGCAGGGAGTCCCCGCGCTTGTACCACGTGACCTGGGCCGAGGACTGCCCGGCCACCACGCAGTTCAGGTCCAAGCTCTGCCCTTCGGCCACGGAGGACGACGACGATTCGATCCTCACAGGCGGCGTGACGGCCACGGCTGGGGATGTTGCGAGAGAGGAGGTTACGATGGGGGCATGTTCTGCTGCTTTACGGCACCACGATGGATGGAGCAGTGCTGTCCCTGGAGCCGCTTGTCCCGCTGGGGTCGGGGCCAGACCAAGAGCTCCGGGTACCTCCCATGCTTTGCCTGAGCTCATTCAGAGCCTCAGCCGGTCCCCGAGAGCTCCTCGCCCCCTCCACAGGCTCCCTTTCAGTGGTCCCTGTCCCAGGAGCACTGATCTCCCCTTGGGCAGAGGCTTCAAGACCTCCAAGAGCCAGCACGTCCCGTCGCGAACCCCAGCGCAGAGCTGCTATAGGCCCCTCCGGAGGGGCTCCGAACTTGCAAAGGCGAAGCACGCCAGCCCCCAGACTCACGGTAGGAGGAGATGTCCTTTGGCTGGATGGTGACGAGGACGGACGTCTCCTTGGTGGCGCTGCCGGTGCTGACGCGGCACACGTACTCGCCCGAGTCGGCCGGCGTGACCTGCACCAGCCGCAAGCGGGAGCCGGAGACCTGGGGAGAGCCACGGGGAGACAGGAGGTGGGAGACGGGAAGCTGGGACAGTGCTGGATACACCCCCCATAGCATCCCGGGCTCTGGGGATTCCTCCTTTCCTCCACCCCGCAGCTCCCCCTGAGCTCCCTCGCTCACAGCTCGGGCTCCACAGCTGCCCGGGACCCCACCGCGGCCTGAGCACCGCAGGACGCGCTCTCCAGAGCTCTCGCTATCTCCAGCCCCAGACTCTTCTGCTCCTTGGACCTCTTGCAGGATGGGAAATCAGCTCCCTGCACTGTTCTGGGACTGGCAAAGGGGGAGCTGTACCTTATAGACTAACTGAAGCAGAGAGGCACAAGCTCTGGCTCCCCAAAGCTCGTGCATTGCTGATTTGGTTAGTGCCTTGTGCCTGGCTCCTGAATGACACAGCTAAGGACCTCTCTGCTTTTTGGCTGTGGATGCTGCCCTGGGGACTTGGCCCCCCTGCCCAGCCCACCCCCACCAGAGCAGAGCCTGCCCTGGCCCCGGACACACACCAGCTCTCCCAGAAACGAGTGCGAACAGGAGAGCAGGATTCAAACTCCAGCAGAATAGCAGAGCTCCCTCCAGGCCCACAGCAACGCAGGGAGACCCCCCCCCAGCCCTGCCCTGGCGTCCCTACCTGGTGCCTGGCGGGCAGGGAGTCCCCGCGCTTGTACCACGTGACCTGGGCCGAGGACTGCCCGGCCACCACGCAGTTCAGGTCCAAGCTCTGCCCTTCGGCCACGGAGGACGACGACGACTCGATCCTCACGGGAGGGGTGACACTGGAGGCTGTGGAGCCAAAAGGGGCAGGTTACGGCAGGTGGCCCAGGCTGCAGGTCTGCAGCATCACAGGCATCGCCAGCGCTTTGCTGGTGGTCAACCTGCCCCTCTCCCGGAGACTTGCACAGACCGATCATTTCCGGATGCTCCCAGGACCTTGGCTGTGGCTTGTTCAGCCCCTCACTGTGCGGGAGCCTTCCCTGGGTTTGCGCTCGCATCCCGCCCATCCCTCCCGGTAGCTCCCGCCACGGGCTCCGCGCACCCTGGGACGGGAGCCCCAGGCAGCGACACGGCTGTCACGTCCCACCACGGGCCCCTGAGCACCAGACAGCGCGGCAGCCCCGCGTGGCCCCGACTCACGGTGGGACACAACACCGCTGTGCTGGATGGTGACGAGGACGGACGTCTCCTTGGTGGCGCTGCCGGTGCTGACGCGGCACACGTACTCGCCCGAGTCGGCCGGCGTGACCTGCACCAGCCGCAGGCGGGAGCCGGAGATCTGGGGGCAGAGGCGTACGGTGGGTGGGGGAAGATGGCCTGGGCAGTGCCGGCGCGTGTGATCCCACAGCGTCCCCTCTGAGCAGGACGGGGCGGCTCCGGGCTCCCTCAACCCAGAGCTGCCCGGTGCTCCCGCCCGGGGCTGTGGTTTCAGTGTCTAACCTGGGTCTGACCCACACCGCTCCCTGAGATGACTTGGGGGATGCCTGGCTCTGGGCTCAGCCTGCACCCAGCAGGCATGCTGATCCTGTCTGCCCCTTGCCACCCACCACAGCTGCCTCCCAGGGGCAGGGGAATCACCGTGGCTCCTGCCATGAGGACTCTCCATCACAGATCATGCCACGCCAGTCGAAGGAGGCTGCCCAACTTCTGTGGCTGCAGCAGCTCATCCCCATGGGAGCAGGCGCAGGCCCTTGGCAGCCGTTTCCAGAGTATAGGCATGTGTCTGAGCTGCTGTCAGGGCCCAGGCAATGCAAGGAGAGCCTCCCCCTTCCCTTCTTGCCACCCCCGGGGCCCTGCCCTGGTTTCCCTACCTGGTGCCTGGTGGGCAGGGAGTCCCCGCGCTTGTACCACGTGACCTGGGCCGAGGACTGCCCGGCCACCACGCAGTTCAGGTCCAAGCTCTGCCCTTCGGCCACGGAGGATGACGACGACTCGATCCTCACGGGAGGCGTGATGCTCGAGGCTGCAGAGCCCAAAGGGGCAGGTTACAGCAGGCGGCCCAGGCTGCAGCTTCGCAGCACCCCGGGCGTTTTATGGAGGGCAGTTTTGCCAGCTGCCGGCCCACCCACCCCTCTCCTGGAGACTAGTGCAGACCCATCGTTTCAGGCCACTCCCGGGACCTCGGCCGTGACTTGTTCAGTCTCGGATACCCCCCGAACCCCTCACCCTCCAGAAGCCTTCCTAGGGTTTGCGTTCACATCCCGCCCATCCCTCCCAGTAACTCCCGCCACGGGCTCCGCGCACCCTGGGACAGGAGCCCCAGGCAGCGACACGGCTGTGGCGTCCCACCACGGACCCCTGAGCACCAGACAGCGCAGCAGCCCCGCGTGGCCCCAACTCACGGTGGGACACGACACCGCTGTGCTGGATGGTGACGAGGACGGACGTCTCCTTGGTGGCGCTGCCGGTGCTGACGCGGCACACGTACTCGCCCGAGTCGGCCGGCGTGACCTGCACCAGCCGCAGGCGGGAGCCGGAGATCTGGGGGCAGAGGCGTACGGTGGGTGGGGGAAGGTGGCCTGGGCAGTGCCGGCGCGTGTGATCCCACAGCGTCCCCTCTGAGCAGGACGGGGCGGCTCCGGGCTTCCCCCTCAGCCCTGGCTCTTGCCCGCATGTCACGGGGTGGCTTCACACCAGCACCTCGTGGCCAGGCTTCCTTCGAGCCCACGGCAAGTGGAAAACCTCCCGCTCCCTGCTGGGGCTACTGTACCTGGTGCTTGGCTGGGAGGGGACCCCCCCGCTTGTACCACGTGACCTGGGCTGACAACTGGCCGTCCACAGCGCAGTTCAGGTCCAAGGTCTGTCCTTCGGTGACGTGGGAGGACGAAGACTCGATCCTGATGGGGTGCGTGATGCCTGGGGCTGGGAGAAATGAGGGGGAGTCAGGTGCCAGATGCAGCCGCAGCGGGGTCTCGGCGCACATCGCACACAAGGCCAGGAGGAGATGGAGACGGCCCACGAGATCCCGCTGTGCCCTGCCCCAGCTCTGCGTTGGCTTAGTCTTTACCCTCCCAAGCAATGGGCTTTCCACCACGTCCTGCAGGATTTTATCCACAGGCTGATTCTGCCCCAGTCAGGAGATATTTCCAACCCCCATCCATTTCTGAAAGCTGCTGGGGGGCTGTCACAGCAGCTCACCCTGACCAGATCCCAGGGACCATGTCCCCGACTGCAGGCAAGGGGAGCTGTCATGGGGAGCAGCCATCACTGGGCAGCAGGGGAGGACCGGGGAGATGGACTTCGCCTTCCCACCTGCCTGAAAGCCCTTGTTCTGGGGTCCACGTGTCTGCCCTGGAGCGTGAGCCTCAGCTGCTCGTACAAGAGGGAGGCTGTGCCCCAGGCCACTCACCAGAGCCCATTGCCCCTGGTAGGTGGGTGCAGCTTGGGGGTATGGGACAGCATACCCCGTGGAGGGTAGGAAACATGGGACCCTGGGTGCACTGTGGCCCCGAGCCAAAGCCCTGGACCTTGGAAGCCCGTCAGCTGGTTTCTGCACGCTGCACGTACAAGAGGGGCTGGTGATGGCCTGTATAGTGACGATGACGGAGGCCTCCAGGACCTGGGTGCCGGTGCTGCTGCGGCAGACGTACTCGCCCGAGTCGGCCTCGGTGACCCGTGGGATGAGCAGGCGGGAGCCGAAGACCTGCAGGGAAAGGAGCCGGGGGCCGGTTACAGGCGAGGACTGTCCCACCACGTCCACGCCAGGCTCTGCTGACGCTCCTCGAAGCAGCCACCCTGCTCAGACCTGCTGCTCTCCCCAGCCATCCCGTCACCGGTGGGGTGGCAGACCTGCCCCGAGGGGCCACCACTGCCGAAGGGAAAGATGCCTTGCCAGGGCCCAAAGGGAAGCACTGCGCTGGCTGGGGCCGGCCGTGGTGACCGGTGTGACTTTTCTGCATGAGCAGCACCGCGGCAACACTGTGAGCAGTTGGGCACGGCCCCTTTAGCTGTGCACTGACTCCCCACTTATAACGGCTGCAGATACCCAGGGGAGAGTGAAAGCGCCAGCCACGCTGCAGCCCGTGTCCCCTCTCCAGGCACGCTCTCCACACCACCTCGTACCTGGTGCTTGGCTGGGAGGGAGCCCCCGCGCTTGTACCACTTGACCGGGGCTTGCGAGTGCTGTGCAACGACACAGTTCAGGTCCAAGGTCTGTCCTTCGGTGACGGGAGATGAGGAAGACTCGATCCGAATGGGGGGTGTGATGCTCGAGGCTAGGACACACGACAGGGGAAGATGCTCAGAGCTGGGGGCCTCTCCTGGACTGTGAGGACTGGTGAGGACCGCGCTGCCCAGGGAGGGCTTTGGGTCTGGTGCTGTCCCGGGCCAGACCCTCCCAGGCAGCGCTGGCACTTACGGTGGGAGACGTCAGTGGCACGGGCCACGGTGACGAAGATGGAGGCCTCTTGAATGGTGTCCCCAGTCCTGAGGCTGCAGACGTACTCGCCCGAGTCACCCGCGGAGACCTGGACTAGCCGCAGGCGAGAGCCGGAGACCTGCGTGGGAAACGGGGGAGAGACCAGAGGAACGGGTGAGGGGGGAGGCTGGGACTTCCCAGCGGAGCTCCTCAGTGATGTCCCGATGGGGCTGAGGGAGGCCAGCAGCACTCAGCCAGGCCGGGAGGCCGTGTCCCCAGCGCATGGGGCGAAGACCCAGAGGGGGAGGCCGGGGTGGCACAGCCCGGCCTCTCGACAGCTCTCCAGCATCACTGTCATAGTCAAGTGGCAAAGAAACCCTTGAAAGAGCGATTTGAGTGTCAGAGACGAAGAGCCGCCTGCCTGAGTCTGCAGAGAGCCTGGCACAAGAGCCTCCCACCTCGCTTCTCCCTCGGGTACGGCAGACGGGACTCTGCGCCCCGACACTTCGCTCGCCCCATGCGTGACGGCCCACGATGAGGTGAGGGGGCGATCTGGACCGAGCACAGAGGGAGGGGAGGGGGCTCGGGCTGCATTCACCCAGGGTCAGGGGAGCCGAGTGCTGGAATGTCACCCCGCTCCTCCCGGGCCACGGCTGCGTCCCGCGTACCTGGTGTCGGGCGGGCAGAGAGCCCCCGCGCCTGTGCCACGTGACGCTGGGGTGCGACTGGCCTGGCACGAGGCAGTTCAGGTCCAGGGTCTGTCCCTCCACCACGGCAGGCGACGAAGACTCAATGCTCACGGAAGAAGCTGGAAGGGCCGAGGGACGTGTCATGGCTCAGCGCACGCCCACCCCGACGAGCCCAGTGCGTGGAGGGGCCTCTCGGGGCGTTCGCAAAGCAGCAGCGATGCCTTGCCCCGAGGGCAGCGCCAGCGGGGCTGGCTCGTGGCTGGCACAGGCTGTGGAGGGGAAAGCTGCTCCCCAGCTCCTCGGGGCCAGCCTTGTTCCTTGCAAGCATGTCCCCCCCTGGGGTGTCCCGAGCTCCTGCTTACCCCCCTGCACGGCTCCAGCGCCTTGCACCGTGACGATGACGGAGGCCTCCTTGGGCCCAGCGCCGTTGCTGACGCGGCAGACGTATTCGCCCGAGTCAGCCGCCGAGATCTGGGGGATGTGCAGGCGGGAGCCGAAGACCTGTTGGGGGCCGTGAGCCGGGAGAGAGAGATCGTGAGGGATGGGGAGAAACGGGATGGGTCCCCACAGGCCCACTGGGCCCCTGTGCTGCATGGCCGGAGACGTCTACCTGGCATCCGCTGACCAGCAGGATCCCTCTGGCCTGCAGGGATGGACGTGGCCTCCTCACCCTCCCCTGGGCAGCCTGGGGAACTAGAGCCCCCAAGGCAACCCCCCCGGTGCCCTGGGCTGGCTCCCCGACATCCCCGCGGCCCTGTGGGCCTCCGTACCTGGTGCCTGGCTGGGAGGGCGCCTCCCCGCTTGTACCAGAGGACCGTGCCTTGCGAGTGCCCAGCCACGACGCAGTCCAGATCCAAGGTCTGTCCTACGACCACGGACGACGGCGATGCCGATGCCTCGATGCGGAGGGGGGGCACAGCCGCTGAGGCTGGAAGGGCCGAGAGAGAGGGGCATGGCACAGCGTGGCTCTGGGACTGGGTGCAAACCAGCACAGTCACTGCCCCAGAGAGCTTGTGGCTTTGTAGCAAGGGGTCTTCTCAGCGTGCAGCGTGCCCTGCCGCTCCGACAGCCCCCGAGGAGCATGGTCACATGCTGGCGTGTGGCACGCTGACGACCGGAGCAGCCTGGCCTGCACATTCAGACCCTGACATCTGTCCGAGGCGCGGCCGGACTGGACGTGCCTCTCATGCCGCTGGGTTTTACTCGTGCAGGGGCAGATGCCCAGATCGCCTGCTGAACGTGTGTATGCAGCCCCTACAGACCGGGCTGCGCTCAACCCATCAGGGCCCCCAAAGCCAATGACTTGGGTCTCAGCAGACCCATCCGGAGGCACCGCAAAGCCGCTGTATGGGTACTTTTGGGCTTCGCTCGATCCAGCACTGAGGTCAGCATGGCTCGGGGAGCCGGGACAGGAAACATCTGGGCACCCCGTGCTCTGACAGAGCAGGGGGACCAGCCATGGCCAAGGATGCTCAGGCATAGGGGGAACGGTGGTTAATGCCACAGGCACTGACAGGGGCAAGGCCTTGCTACAGCCCCATTTAGGCAGGGTCTGGAGGGGGCAACACGGCACAGTGCGGGGTGTCTTGCAGGGGGCACCCGCCTGGCTGCTAGCAAGGAAGGCCTCCTTGCACCCCTTACCTCGTACGACCACCTCGATCCTGGCCCGGGCCACGCCGGCCGCACTGGTCCCGACACACAGGTACACGCCGCCGTCAGCGACCGTGATGGAGGGGATGACCAGGGTGGCGATGTCGGTCCTCTCCGAGCGTGACTGCGGACACAGGAAAGGGCCGTGAGGGTCAGAGGTCCCAGGGCCACACGCAGACACGCAGTAAGCGGGGGGCACTGCGGGGTGCCATCAACACAGGGGCATGGGACACCACGAAGGAGAAGGAAGGAGAGCTGGGGCTGCCGCCTTGGTGACTACTGACCGGTCTGTGCGAGCTGAGAGTCTCCGGGAAGAGAGGCCGTGCACCCCAGCCTGGTCCCCTGGGACCTGGGTTGCACAGATTTGGATGGGGTCACCCAGAGAGGGCCGGCACGCGCCCAGGGCTGTGCCCGCGAGATCCTGGCTAGGGAGCCCTGTGCTGTATCCTAGAGCTCGGCTGCACCCCCAGATCTCCCAGCACGGGGCTACACCGTGACCCGCACAGCCCCGGAGCTGAGCAGGATGGAGACACCAGACAGAGACAGCAGGAGGGAGCAGGGCTGCCGTGCCAGCCCAGCCAGGCGAGGCAGCAGGTAGGGCACGCGAGCTACCTGCCGGAGCTCCAGGATCCGCTGGTAGATTTCCTCCAGGCTGGAGCTTTTGAAGTGGAGGAAATCGTAGGCAGAGAGAGCCTGGCAGCAGAGAGAGGCCGGCGGAGAGACAGGAGAGGAGAGGAGAGGAGAGGAGAGGAGAGGAGGAGTGTGGGAAGGAAGAGACGGACCGAGAGGGACAGCAGTCAGAGAGAGAAAGGGACAGCGATCGTGCATGTGCGTGCACGGCAGTGTTCGTGCGTGCGCGCCTGTTCGTGTGCATGCATACCCCTGTACGTTCCCACGGGGGATGTGTGCTAGGGATCGCGGGCCGGGGAAAAGACACCCGGGGCACCGCACTGGTCTCTCACTCCCGGACTGAGAACCAAACCAGCCTGGGCTGTGCCAGCGCAGCGGCCCCAGCGCAGGGAGAAGGCCCTGCCCAGCTGGGCCCAGGTCCTGGTGGAGGGACCCCTGAACACCGCTGGTGCCTGCCCATGCGCAGGGGCATGTGGGCTCTGGATTGGCAAGGGCTGAGCTGACCCTTTCCACAGGTGTCCGTCAGGGCACCAGCCTGGGCCTGGGGACCCTGCTCTCAGGGCATCCCCTGGGCCTGATACCCCCAAACCCCACAGCTGTCCAGACCGAATGCATCTCTGGGGTCTCCCCAGCTCGCGCCTGGCCAAGGCCTTGGGACTCCAGCCAGCGACGGCACAGGCGAAAGCGGAGCATGGGCATGCCCCCTTCCTGCAGGGCACCGGCCACGGGACACGCAGCACCTACAAGCTGTTCTGTCCTCTTGCTGTAGCTGTCCCGAGCCTTCCCTGGGATGGAGTCAGATATTATGTGCATGCACAGCTTCACGGGGAGGAACTACTGGCTTAAGGGAAACTAGCTCCCTGCCCCTATTAGCCAGGCTTGGAGGTACCAACTGTGTCCCCTGCTTGTGAAAGAGGAACGTTATCCTGGATTTTACTCCAGGTCAGCCTGCTTAGTCCCAGGGCAGCACCCACGGGCTCTTGGAGAGGCAGCTCTGGGGCTCCACAGCACTTCCAGCCCCTCTCCCACACCCACCCCGTCTATGGCTGCCCCCCCCCCGCGCAATTGCCCCAGCACGGAGACCCCGGCGCCTTACCCGGGGTGGCAGGCTACCCCCTTGCTTCTCCCAGGAGATGGTGGCGGTGGGGGAGCCGGCAGCCCTGCAGTAGAGTCGCACAGTGCTGCCCTCCTGCACCTCCGTCCGCTCCGGGCTCACCTGCACCTGCGGGACGCTGGCACCTGCCAAAGCCGCGGCCGGCGGGTCAGAGCCGAGGTCCCGCTCAGCCCAGGCCCCGACACGGGGCGCAAAGCGGGACAGGAGGTGAGGGGCCCTGGCTGAGAGGCCTCGCTCCAGCCCTGGCCCCCCTGGCAGGGCTCACAGCTCCTCTGCTCCCCCCAAGACTGTCCAAGAGCCAGCCCCCTTCCCTGCAGGAAGACCCGTTTCTGCTCCCCTGCAAAACCAGGGGCCTGTTGTAGGCGATCAAGCATCATTTCAGACCGAGCCATGGGCTCTGCTAGATGCTCATCCCAAGGGCATGCTCCTGGGATCCGGCTCCGGCTTCTACGGTCGGGTGGTGCCTCCAGCACCAGGCTTGGCCCACCCCCACCTTGCCCCCACTGCCGGCCCGGGACGTACTGTGCACTTGGAGGATGGCACGGGCCACGTGCTGCCCGGCGCTGTTGCGCACGCGGCACAGATAGTGCGACTCGTCGGAGGGCTCCACGGCCAGGAAGCGCAGCACCCCGCCCCGCACCACGGCTCGGGGGGACAGGACCCCGTTCTGCCCGCCTGCAGGAGGGAGGGACAGCGCCGCGGTCAGGAGGCCTCGCTGCCACGGGCACTGTGCCACCCCTAGGGTCTCCGAGGAGCCGGAGGGACCGGGACGGACTGGGAAGGCGCCCCCCGGCCCCCCCCATCCCTCCCAACGGGCACCGGCCACGTACCGATCCACTCCAGGGTGGGCGGGGGGCTCCCGGTCGCCACGCAGCGAAACTCGGCCGGCTGGCCCGGCTGCACGGTGAGCTGTGCCGGCTCGATGGTGGCCGTGGGCGCGCTGGCATGCGTGGCTAGGGCGGGATGGAGAGCGGTTAGGTCAGGCCATGGGGCAGCAGGGTCAGGAGGTGCCCTCTGGAGCAGCGACTTCCCTCCAGAGCCAAATGGGCCCCGAGCCTTGGAGCAGCGGGGTCCCGGCCCCACTGCAGGGAGGGCAGGGGAACCTCAGACCCCGTTCACCAGAGATGCTCCTCGCCCGGGGCTGGTGGCCAAGGAGCCCCTGAAGGCAGCAGGACCCCCTGCCTGGTCCAAGAGCCCTGGGCAGGCACGGGGACGACCCCTGTTTGGGTGGGAGGGATCCCCACGAGTGGGGTTTGGAGCGGGGATGGGAGAGGGCAGCTCCAGGCGCTGCTCCACAGCGTCACGGCCCTCCCAGGATAGGGACGCGGGATGCCACTAGCCGCCTTCCCGCTCCCAGATGGAAGAGATGGGCCTGGCCCCGGCTGGGGTGAGAAGCAAGGCCAGAGCCCTCCAGCGGGCAGAGAAATGTTTGGGACCCACATAAATACCCACTCCGCGCTGCCCTGGCTGCTCCTGGGGTGGACGTGAGTGTGGCCACGTCCCCGTATATCGCCCATGCCCCAGGAAGGGGCACACGGACATGCATACACAATCATGCACGGTGATGGCTGCTACAGCAGGAAGACCAGGGTGCTGGCAATGACCCCTCCCTCGATGGGGCTAGCCCCAGCCCCGACAGCCATGGGGTGGGCATGCTTGCCCTGTGGGGATCCCTCCTGCTAGAAGCGGGTGAGATGGAGAGGAGCAGCTACTGCACATGATCTGTAGGGCTGTGGCTGTCAGGTGAAGGATCGGGGGTACAGTCCACACCCCGACGGCTCTCTGTCCCGTGGCAGAGCCCGGTGGGAAGGAGGTGCAGGGAGGGTCTCAGACCCCGTGGCTGGTGAGAAGCCACTGCTCTGGGGGGCTGGCAGGGGGCAGGAATGAACCCCACCAGAGACAGGGCAAGGGGCAAGGACAGGACACAGCATCGCTTCCACATGGCACGCAGAGACACAGAGCAAAGACACCGCTCAGAGCACCGGGCAGGACCGTGCCAGTGGTCAGAGCCCAGGACATCTCAGCGCTCCCACCTGCTCCCTGCCCAGGGGCTCAGGCCCTCCAGTGCTGTCCTGGCGGGGCGAGAGCAGCGATGCCCCCCTGCCATGCTGGAAGGCACCCGAGAGCAAGAGCGAGACCGTGAGAGTGCTCCGGGCCGGGGCTGGCATGCATGCAGTGGTGATGGAGACTGGCACACAGCATGCCAACTTACAGGGTCTGTGGCCTTCCACAACTTCGACGGGTCCAAAAAACATCTGGGTCTTAGAAGGGGCTGCGAACAAGTCGTCGTGTTCAATGGCAGGCCGCGTGGGCGCCGCCTTCGGCCTCCACCCGGGCCCCGTGCCTCCCTGCTCTGAGGCTGCCTTCCCTGCCTGCCTGCTAGCGAGGAGGGGGCTCGAGACCGCCAGCTGCAACCCAGCCCCTCTGCTCCACCCGCGTGCCTGGCTGAGGCAGCCGGTGCCCGGGCCCAGGTGTTGTGGTGGGAGAAGCTGGAGGACTCGTGCATCCACGTCCACCACGGGGCCACGAGAAAGGACAAAGGCATCGCCCCTTTTGTGCCTTTCTCGCAAAGCAGCTCGGGGAGCAGAGAGGTGACTGAGTTTGAGCGTGGACTGTCCTGCGTGGCCTGGGCTGCTTACAAGCACTGCTGAGCGCACGGAGGGTGGGAAGAAGTGTTCTCCTGATGGGGAAGTGGAGGCACCGCGGGGGAGCAACTTGACCACGGCTACCCGCAGCCTGTGGCAGAGCCAGCAGTCGAAGCCAGCTCCGCTGAGTCCCTGCCCCTCTGCCATGACTGCCAAGGGCACTTGTCCGGGACCCTTGTCAGACCTCATCCCTGCCTAACACCGCCTGGTTTGACTTGTCTGGACGGAGAGGGGGGTCTCAGGAGGCACGAGGAGCAGCTCCCTGACCGCTGCCTCCTCCACACGGCACCCCCAGACCCGGCCAGCCCTGCAGCTTTCCTGTTACAAGCCAAGCCAGCAAGGGCAGAGCTGGCACGTCATGTCCTGCCCATCCTGGGTACCAGACCAAACATTAGGGGCATGGCTCCTATGCTACTGCAGGGTAGAGGGGAGGCTGGCTGGAGCTGGAAGGGAGCAGGGATTTCAGGATGTGAGCGGCAGAGCTTTTTCTGCCTTCCAACGTCTCCTGTGTAGAAAAGGGCACCCCTCTGGCAGAAGCAGGACCCCAAGAGCCAGCTCCCCGTGGTGCCCAAGGGCACGTGTGCCCGGAGGGCCCGGGGCCATGGACGCCGCACACACCTTGCACGTAGAGGGTGGCCGTGCCCTCATCCATGTCGAGCATGTTGGAGCCGGTGCAGACGTAGATGCCGGCGTCCTCGGGCTGCACGTTGCGGATGGTGAGGATGCCGTTGAAGTCCATGGCACGGCTGGGCAGCTTGCCGTTGTTCTGGCGTGTCCACACCAGCGTGTAGGCCGGGGACTGCAGAGGCACCGCAGCGAGGGGGATCAGCCGTGCCTACCCCACCCTCGGGTGGCCCATCGCCAGCACGCCAGGGCGCCTTCCTCTGACGGGCACCCACACGTGCAGCCGGTGAGTCAGGGTAGTGAGCCCACACCAAGGCACGGAGGAGCTGGCAATGCCCAGCCATGGGGGACTGCTCTCCTGGGCCCTGCTTGCAGCTGGGGACCCTCAGGATGGCAGCTAATGCCATCCTAGACTTGGCCCCCTGTCACCCCCTCGCATTGCACCGCAACCCCGTGCTCCCGCAGTGTGGCCCAGCCCTCACCTTGCTCTTGGCCGTGCAGATGAAGGTGACGTCGGCTCCAGGCTTCACCCTTTGGACCCTCTTCTCCTCCACGGTCACAGTGATGGGTTTGCTCGGGGCCTCTTGGGGGGGGGACAAGGACACATTAAAGCTTTCTGCTTGGTTTTTCCCTGCCTGCTCTCTGGACCATGCCCACCGGAGCCCGTCTCATGGCTCAGGACCCGAAGGGTGGGTGAAGGGGATGGGGCTTGACTCTAACACCGTCACTGCTCTCCACCGGCTCCTTCCGTCTTTGGAGACCCTCCGTCCTGCTCCAGGGACCCTCCCAGATGCTCCTCCCTGTGTGCCAGGGTAGGAGGGGGGCACTGCCAGCCTGAGTCCTGGGCACTGGCCCATTCTTGGCGCTGCGACCTGTCCTCATGCTCTGACGGGTCCCGGACTGCTTACCCGTGACAACGACCTCTGCCCGGCTGGTGTTGCTGTGCTGCGAGTTGCGGCAGGTGCAGAGGTAGACGCCGGCCTCGGAGGGCTGGATGCTGGGGAAGTGGAGCTCCTCGCCTGGGAAGAGGATGAAGGGCATGGCCCTGGGTCACGTCAGGCTGGCTCAGCCTGGGTCAGGGCCTGGAGAGGGACCCCTGAGGCCCCCCCAGGGAAGGACCGGGTGCCCGGGGCTGCTGTGGCGCAGGTGACGCAGTAGGAAGCTGCAGCTGGGTGCTCCTGGCCTTGCCAAACCCCGCGGCTGCTACATGCCCCTTCCCAGCAGCACCGGGCCAGCATGTCCCCAGGCCAGTGGGGAGGGAGGTGAACGGGTCCATCCGCACTCAGCCCCAGAGACTGGCACTGCGGGCGACGCTGGTACAAGCCGCCGGCAGCCCCCGCCCCAGAGCAGCTGCCAGGTGCTGGAAGCAGGATGCGCGGGGGCCGTGGAGCCCCACGGGACCGTCGTGCCGCCTGTGTTGAGCCATTACCTTGCCGCCTGCTCTGGGTGGAGCTGGGAAGGGGTTGCCCGTCCTCACGAGACCAGTGGTAGTTGTAGGGTGGGTTCCCGCTGGCCTGGCAGCGCAGGATCACCTCGCTGCCTTGTGCTACCGTGGTCTTGGTGGGGTGGACGCGGACCACGAGAGGGGCTCGGGCTGTGGGGAGAGAGGGGGGCATTGCTGTGGGAGAGCACCGCCACGCCCGAGTCCACCTGCCCGGCTGCCCTCCTGGGTGCGAGGGGCCGGAGCCCACCGCTGTCCCTGGTGGGGCTGCCCTCTCGTCCCCAGGCAGGGCAGGAGGGCGGCAGGGGCCTGGACCTCCCTCCTGGCCTCCTTCTAGCCTCACTCGTGGCTCCTGGCTGGGGCCTGAGGTAGCCCACGGTGCCAGCTCAGCGGCATGCACTTACCCACAGGCAGGCACTTCTGCCCGCGCACATTGGGGTTCCCCACGTAGCCTGGCGCGCACCTATTGGGGAGCAAAGCACGGGTGAGGGCAGGACACGGAAAAGAGCCCCAGCGAGCCGTGATTTCTCCAGGGAGCATGTGCCCATGTCCCCTGGGGGCTGCCAGGCCGGGGGAGGGAGCCAAGGGAGGCACTTACTGCTCGCAGTACTGGCCGGTGTAGCCGGGCTCACAGGCCGTGCAGCGGTAGCCCCCGGCCCCCAGGCTCTCGCACGTCCGCGAGAACCTGCCGGGCAGAGAGACGTGAGCGCTGGACGGAAACACCGCCCGGGCTCGCTCGCGCCCACCCCAGGGCACCGGGAACTCTGGGCCCGCTGAGCTCCCCCAGCAGGGTGTAGAGGCGACCTGGCCCCCAGCCCCCCGAGTGGGGAAGCCTCCAGCACGTCCCAGCACTGGCTCTGCCCCGAGCTGTGCAGAACGGGAGCTCCACGGGGCCTCCGAGTGCCGGCACGGGGGCAGGGGCACGCCGACAGAGCCCGTTTCTCGGGACCCCGGGCACTTCCTGCGCTCGGGAAAAGCAGCTGGAGGCAGGACCACCGATTCCTAACCCCTGCAGCTGCTTGAAAAACCTTCCCCATGGCACCGGGGTGGGCTGGCACAGGGGAAGCCAGTGGGTGTCGGAGGACTGAGAGGCCTTCTGCCTGCGCTGCCCTGGGGCTCAGGGGCACGAGCCCCGTCCCCACTAGCCCCACGCGCACCACGGGGTCTCCTCTGAGCAGCCGGATACCTACTGGTTCTCGGGGTCGGGCAGCGGGCAGGCGCAGGGCTGGCAGTCCTCGGGGGTGCCGGCCGTGGCGTCGCCGTAGAAGCCGGGGGCGCACTGGTCGCAGAACTCCCCAGCCGTGCTGTGCAGGCAGCTCTGCAGAGAGGGCACACGGGGCTAGCCACGGGCCACACGTGGGAGCAGCGTGCCATGGCACAGGACACGTGCCTCACCCCGGACACGGGGAGGGGGACCCTCCTCCAGCATCAGTGGGCAGAGAGGAGGGTCAGGCCCCAAAGACAGTGCCTTGAGAAGCAAGGGGGCAGGCAGTGTCCGCTCTCAGCCCTGGCCTCGGGGCCCGAGGCCGCAGGGTGACTTACCGAGCAGGCTCCGGTCTCGGGGTGGCAGGAGTCGGAGTGGCCGTTGCACTCGCACAGCTCGCAGTGCCCCAGGTATAGGCCGGCTCCCGTCCGGGTGTAACCGGGGGCACAGTCCTGTGAGGGACAGACATGGCATCAGCCCCTCGCGCTGCCAGCAAGGGGAGCGCGTCTAGACACGCGCCTAATGTACAGCAGCTTATTTTACTGCGCATTAAAGCGGCATGTCAAAAAACGTGCTAACATACTAATGTGCAGTAAAAATAGGCTACTGCACATTCAGCGTCACTAAAAAAGCGTGCACTTCCACTACTGTGCATTAAGGCAGCCTAATGTGCATTTATTTAGTGCCTCACCTTAGAGGTACTACATTTAATGCACAGTAGCAAAAGGGCATTAATGAACACGTAGACGCGCCCAGTGGTGGGCCCTGAGGGGCCCCGTCTCACCTGGCAGGAGAGGCCCTGGTACCCCGGCGGGCAGCGGCACTCCTCCACCTCTGGTGCCCGCGGCAGGGCGGTGTAGGTGGGCACGGCGGTCTCCATGCTGACGCCGGAGAGGCTGGCCGACACCATGTCCGTGGAGTAGGTGGCGCGGATGAGGATTTCGTCCAGGTCGGCCAGCACCATCATGAGGTGCTCCCGCGTGGCCGGCTGCCCGTCGGGCCGCTTCCAGTATTGCTGTGGGGAGAGGGGCAGGTTCATGCTGGCTGCAAGCTGGGGACTGGCTGGACTGGGGATCTCCACAGGGCAGTGGGGAGTCGTGCCGTGCCTGCCCGGACTGCAGGAGCCCCTGGAAGCAGGGGGCATAACCCCCCTCCCTGCACAGGGTCTGCACGGGGAGCCGTGAGCCCATCCCAGGCACCCAGGGGCCCCGCTGGGATCTGTCCTGGGGAGGCCGAGAGCCACGGGCACCCAGCCCCAAGCTGCACCCTGCGCTCGCCTCTTACCTCCCGGAAGACGATCTCAAAGCTCTTCTGGTCCTGCGGTGCCAGGTCGGGCTGGTAGGCCACCAGTGTGATGTCGTTGCCCTGCGCACACCCCGGGAGAAGGGGCCAGTCAGAGCCCGGCCCCTGCTCTGGGACCCCAGGCTCCCCTCTCCTCCCCTCCAGGTTCCCCCTGCATCCCGGGTGCCAGCCCCTCCACCCCTCCCTCCAACGCCCTTCCCAGGGATTAGAGACATCCAGCAGTCACAGCAGAGACCCTGGCCATGGCTCCGGCAGCGGTCCAGGCACACGGGCTATCGAGACACTTGGTGTCAAAGGAGTTTGGAGAACTCCGGCTTCAGTACCCAGCCCGGCTTACCGTGATCTGGACATCGGCATCGGGCAGCGGGGTGCCCCTGCCCCCGGAGCTGTAGGAGAGGGTGTAGCGCAGCCGTCCGCCATAGGAGCCAACCTGCAACCCGACGGGAAGCACTGTGAGACGTGCCAGGTGTGCCGGGCCCTGTCACCGCTGGCCCAGTACCCGGCCGCCAGCTTTGTGCTGCACGTGGCTCTGGATTCCCGTGCTCCTTCAGTGCATCCGTGCCCACGAGGGGAAATGCAAGAGGGGCTGGGATGGAGAGGGGGCACGACAGGGAGGCTGCCCAGCCAGAGATCCAGGACTCTGCCACCACAGAGACCCCAAACGGAGGCCGTCGTGCCCCCCAGGTGGGCACAGGCAGATCCCAGGCCTCAGAGCCCAGACCCTGATGCTCTTGCTCCAGAGGACGTGGGATCGGCCCCAACCCAGCCCGCCCCCCCAGCACCAAGGGCCGTTACCTTATCCCCCAGGAAGGGCTCGGGAAGCTGCCAGTAGAAAATGCTTTCAGGGAGCAGAGAGAAACCCTTGTAGATGAGAGAGAACTGAGACAGGAGAGGCAAAAAGGAGAGAAAGCCAAGGGGTGAGAAGACTCGGTCGCTCCGGTAGAAGGGGAAGGAGCCGAGCTTAGCACCCCCTCCCCACCCGTGGACGAGCCTGGGGAGCTGGTGGGAGAGCATCCAGCAACATGCGCACGGCGCCGGCCCAGCAGGGAGGTGCACGCCGTGCGACACTGCCCCGGGGGCTTCGACACACGCCCGAGGACAGCCCAGCTGGGCACCTCCCGGACATCTCGCTCCCGGGCTGGCACGGTGATCCGTGCGGAAGAGGGGTGCCTTTCTCCAGGGAGGAAGCAGTGAGAGCCGTGGGCAGGTTTGTCCCTGGCCCACAGCTGCCCCACCTCGCTGGTGACAAGCTAAGCATCGCGCCAACCCGCACGGGGGCACGTCTGCGAGTGACCGCAGCAAGTCACAGCATCACACCAACCCATGCAGGGGGATGTCCACGAGTGACCACAGCAAGTCACGCCAACCCGTGCAGGGGGACATCCGTCTGAGTGACCACAGCAGGGCCCAGCATCATGCTAACTTGTGCAGGAGGACATCCGTGAGTGACCACGGCAAGGCCCAGCATCACACCAACCCGTGCGGGGGACGTCCACGAGCGACCACAGCAAGTCACGTCAATCCATGCCAGGGGACGGCCACGAATGACCACGGCAAGGCCCAGCATCATGCCAACCCGTGCAGGGGGATGTCCGTGAGTGACTCCGGCAAGGCCCAGAAGACAAGGAAGTCTTGACTGGGAAATCCAGAGAGAACCACATCTTGCTCCTTGGGAGAGGGCCTCCAGATGGAGCCGCCTGGGTCAGACGCTCCACGTCAACCCGACCGGGGGAGGCTTAGTCTGACCACGAGAGATGTGCTAGCTGGCACAGCTCAGGGAGCTCTCTGGCCAGGGTGATTCACAGGACATCAGGTGCATTTCTAGAGAGTGAGCCATGGCCTGGGAAACTCCTCTCCTCCTGTGGGGCCCTTTGTGGGCAGACGGCAAAGGAAACCTCTGAGCCGCTCCAGGCAGAGGGGAAACCAAGGACCACGCCGGGTGCGCATGTAGCCAGGCACTTCAGCAAACCAGACACGCTCCAGATGGCTCCTTCAGCTCCCAGGGCCAAGGCAACCCCGGTCCCCCTCCCTGGGGCGGGCAGCTGGGGGGTTAGTAAGGGCGCTGGGTTGCTGCAGGCTCACATGCTCTCAGACCGCTCCGTTTGGCCCTCCGCCACCAGCCCCAGAAGCATGCATCCCTCTGGGACACTGGGGACCTCACAGCATGCTCCCGTGCAGGGTCTCTGCTTATATGGGACCACCGGCCACGCAGTGCCAGCCGTCCTGCACCCTGCGGACCTGCACCCTGCTTCCTTGCAGCATAGAGCAGTCAGGCTGGAAGGGACCTCCATCTAGCGCAACTTCTATCCGTCCCGCTCCAAATCATCCCAGGCACATCCATCATCTGGAGGCAGCCGTCGGTCCTCCGGATACATGAGAGAGGCCTCGTCAGAGGCCCGATGACTCCACTGGTGGCTGACAAGGCCAGTTTGAGTGTGACACAGTGTGTTACACGTCTCAGATCCAGGTGTTGTCTGAGCTGGAGTCCAAGTTTACAGCTCGCCGCTTCCTTTTCTTGCTTGGCTCCCATCCCCTGCATCCAAACCAGTTTATGTTGAGCTGCCGCCAGTGCCAGATGTTCCCTCCGGATCAGCCGGGATTCTGCGCGCTCTTCCTACATTGATGGTGAAAGACTTCACATCATTTTTGCCCACGTCGTGGCACCACCATGGAGGGCAACTCCACTTCTGGGGCTGCCTTCAATCTCCCTGCACGAAATATGCTTGGCGATACGGTCTGCTCCCATTCTGCCGGCACAGCTGACCCATCTTCCTGCCAGCGGCTCCTAAGTGCGTCAGTCCTACACGCTGCAGCACCTCTGGGCTTGGCATTTTGTCTTCCCACTTTATTTTCAGGATCTTAGGCAGACATCTCACATGAAAGCTGTTTAGTCTCTGGATTCATCCTCGCACCTCTTCGTAAAACTACCGTCACCCCTGACGCAACACAAGAACCTGCCACGGGTCGAGGAGGGGGACTACGGCAGTCCTGCTTCTATTCAAGGAAGGTCTTGCTTCCACTTCCTTCAGTTTTTATACTGGGGGTCACCCCCCCAGGTGACTCCCAGCTCAACGGGGATGAAGAGGTTGGCACCCACAGCCTCCACGTTCCTCAGCATCGTGGGCTTTACTTTTAGTTCATTTAAAGAGAAAGCCCAGGGTGATCTGAGAACAGCCTTCCAAGACCAACAGGGCTGCTGCAAGAGGACGATCCACTGGTCTGCGTCCACAATTCGGGTTAGATGTTAGGAAGAGGCTGCTGGAGCCCTGCGATGTATTGCCCGGCGAGGCCTGGGGACTCACGTACGTGGCTGGGATGGTCCAAACTGGGATGGTCTGGGCTGGGAGGTGACCCGAGGGCCCTACCAGCCTGCCTTTGCTATGATCCTGGCTTGGCCTCTACACAGCATCTGTGCTTACCCGCTGCCCTGACCGAGCCGATGCGTTCAGGTGGATGGCAGGCTGCCCGTGCTGCACCTGGGCTGCCTGGCCTCTGGCCTGACCCCCTGTGCCCAGGAGCGTGGGTTTAGGAAGAGATCCACTCTGCAGCCTTGAAGGCAAGCCCTGCTTTTCTGAGCCCAGGGCACAGACGGCCCTGGAGCAGCGGCCGTCAGGGTCGGGAGCTGGGGGGCCGGACAGCCCAGGGCCACCAGCATCCCCGTGGGAGGGTTCAGGTCCTCCAAAGAGCCTCCCCAGCACCCCCCGAAAGGTCTCTGCCGCCTCCCTGCTCTGCAGGCATGCACCCAGCAGGCAGACCAAGGCTCTGTACCTTGCCAGCATCGCCAGCCCCATGGTCTCGCGGGGACAGGAGGTTGCCGGACTCCAGGGAGTGAGGTCTGGGCGATCCTTTGCGCTGGGGCTTTGGCAAGAGAAGACAGCAAGGGAGGGCTTAGCAGCCAGGGCAGGGCCGGAGGTCAAAGCCACAAGCAGGAGGGCAGGTGCGGGCGATCCAAGGTTGGGGAGCACAGATCCCGCGGGCAGGGGACGGGGAGCTGGGGGGCTCTAGGAGCCTGTCTCCTGGGAAGGGCACGGGTGGGATGTTGGGAGCGAGCGGCTGATGGCACCGGCGCCAACCAAGATGCCCAGGCACCGATGCTGTGCTGCAGCCAGGCCTGGGGATGCCGAGGGCGTGCCGCAGCCAGACGAGGGGTCTGGGCAGGGCTGGGGGAACGGCTGGGGAGTCAGGGGAGGGGGTCTGTCCCCTGAGAGCCGGGCGGCGGGGAGCAGCAATGTCGCGCCCACAGCTGGAGCGGTACCTGCAGGCCAGACCTGAGCAGAGCCGCTAAAGGGAATGAAGAAGCCCTCGAGGAAGAGGAGGGGTGAGGCAGAGCAGCTAGGAGGGCGCGAGGGCGGGCATGTGGAGGGGGTGGGAGCGTGCCGCGTGGGGAGGCGAAGCTGGACAGCAGCTCCCAGATGGCGGCATCCTGTCGGCGCTGCGCTTCGTCAGCCTGAGGGAGCAGAGGGGAGACGTGGCGAGGGGCAGCGCAGGAAGCTGCCGTGCCAACCCCACGCCCGGGCAGGAGGCACCAGCCCCACAGATGCCCACCCGCGTACCGCATGCCAGGACGGCACGGCATCGGCGTCATACGCCAGCGTGCCCATGCCACACACCATGCTGCCCCCGTTCCCAGAGATGACCCGTGCCCAGCCAGGCGAGGACCCCCCAGCCCCACACGTGTGATGTCAGGAGGGGCCCAGGCAGAGTCTGTGCCAAGTCTGCACGCCGGCACCGGTCAGCATCGACCCCACGCACTACACCAAGCCAGAACTGCCCCGGCATGGATAAGCCCAGGCATGTGCTGACACACCAGCACCAGGCCAAATCCAGCCCTGCGCCCTGGTACCTTCACGGCACGCCTGGCCCTGCTGCCACCAACAGCACCCGGGATCCTGCCCGCGGCCACGGCCTTCCTCAGTTCTTCCTCCGTGAGGGACGTGCTGTTCTGGGGGCGGCACGAGAGGGCTGTGACTCGGCCGTGGGGATAACAACTCCCCTGGCATGACCCGGGGGCTGCCACACAAGGGAACATGCTCAGGGCCCCCTGGCACGGCTCCGGGGGGACGGGGGTCTTTTCCGAGCTGCACCCTCTGCTGCGAGACGTGCAGCCGCAATGCTGTCCGAGGCGATTGTGACCACGAGGCCAGGCACGGACACCGCAGCCCTCCTGTATTACGGGCGGGCTGGCGCCAGGCGATGGGGCTCGGCCCCGTCTCCCCACCTCGGGCACAGCTGGATGCGCCTCTCCTCTCTGTGACACCGGGGCCACCCCGAGTCCCACGTGAGCATCGCGAGACCAGCCTGGTCAGAGCAGGGCTCCCACGGTCGCGTGCCCCGGGCGCGGGCGAGAGATCGCAATGCCCTGTCCCGCCCCGGCTCACGCGCATCACACCACGGCACACAGCGTGCTCGGTACCTTGTGCGCACGGCGCATCCGGGCAAAGTAGGTTTCCCTTTGCTTAGAGGGGAAGGGAGAGCGAAGGAGAAAGACAGAGAAGGAGAGAACGGGGTTAGCGAGGACACGCGAGCAGAGCCAGGAGCCCACCTGCGGCCGGCACGTCCCGGCCCAACCGCCGGCACAGGGAGGAAATCTCTTCCAGCTGGAGCCGAGGCAGCCCCCGCCCCCGCAGCAGATGTCGGCCCGAAGGGTCCCGGGGAGCCCACGCCCCAGACGCGCCGCGCTGCCCCGCTGCACAGCGAGGAGGGGAAGGGGCTGCAGCAGAGACCCCCAGTCCTGGGACCAAGTCTCACAGCCTCCCCCGGCGCCTGCCCGTTGCTTGGCTGCTCCCCAGAGCTCCCTGCAGCGCCCAACCTGCTGCCTCTGCACGTCCCATCTCCCTCTGGCCTGCGTGACCCCAAGTCCCCGCTCCCCGGCTGCTGCCATGCTCAGGGGCTAAAGGCGGAGGCAGCTCCAGGGGGGAGGCGCGGAGCAGCAGGCGGCTGAGGATGAAATGGGCCCCCAGGAGCCGACGGGTCCCAGTCCCCGAGGAGCTCCAGGCAGATCATGGAGGTCCCTGTGGCTGGGCATTCAGGCCCCTGCCACCCGTTACATGTATTACGCAATGCACCGGTGAATCGCGCAATAAATGTAGACCACCCGCACGTGCAAAGTAATTATCACACAATTCCTGGGTGAATTGTGCAATAAATTTAGACTGGCCACATGTACAAAGTAAGACCAGCCACACGTGCAAAGTTATTGTCACACAGCTCCCGGGTGAATTGCGCAACAAACGTAGGCCGGCCACACGTGCCAAGTAATTGTCACACAGTTCACGGGTCAATCGCACAATAAATGCAGATTGGCCACACGCGCCTAATAATTGTTACACAATTCACAGGTCAATCATGCAATAAATGTGGACTGGCCACACGCGCAAAGTAATTGTTACACAATTAATGGGTGAATTGTGCAATAAATGTAGACCAGCCACACGGTGTGCCATAAAAAGGTCTACCCAGCTATAAAAAGAGCCAACCAGCTGCAAAGCTAGTGCTTGAACATGTGTAATGACTTTATAGCTGGTTTCGATTCAGCTTTCATTTGAATATGGGGCCGGGACCTCACTGCCCACCCAGGAGTCAGAGCTGGGCACACGGGGCCAGGCACGCAGAGCCGGGTCTCACCGCAGTCTGGGGTGGGGGGTCCCTCGGATGGGGACTCAGGGACCGCAGGGTGAAGGGAGGCTGAGGATGGGTGTGGGGGCGGGGGTCCCTGGTCACCCAGCCCAGGTGCTCTGCGCTGTATCCTAGCTGGCTTGGAGTTGCCAGGCTGGCTGGGGGGGTGGCCTGGGTGGCTTCACCTCTGCTGGCTGCCCACGTCCCTCTGAGGGCTGGTCCTAAGACCCCTTGCCCTCTCCCAGGGAAGGGTCACTGCACCCCACAGACACTGCGGCAGGGCTTGGACCAACCCAGGAGCCCCAGACCAGCCCCCGGAGGGGCAGCAGAGGGGGCAGAGGGCAGCCCCTGTCTCCTGCGAGGAAGAGGGCAGCCCCACTTCCTTCGCCAGAGGATCACAAGGAGGGCCCCGGGCACAGGCTTGGAGAGGAGGGGGAGGTGAGAGGGGATGTGCACGTGTTGCCCATGCTGGGTGTCCTCACACAGCACGTGGCCTGACACCACGCTGCACCCGGGCACTGCCAGAAGCCACCGAGAGGGGCACGGGGACGGGGGAGCCCCCAGCCCGGGCCTGCACCCAGCCATACCTTGTCCCCCTGGTAGATCTCAGGCAGATGCCAGTAGTAGGCCTCCTGGCCCATCTCCCCGAAGCGCCCGTAGGAGAGCCGGGCCCCCTCGCCGGATGCCTCCACCGTGAAGCCGGTGGAGATGCGAGCGCTGTGCTGGCGGTTGACCAGCGCGAAGCCCTGGAAGTTCCCGGGGGCGAAGGGCGTGCTGACCTATGGGGAGAGATGCCCAAGCAGCCGTGAGTCCTGCTCGGGGCCCGGCTGTCAGGCTCCGACGGGCAGCGGGACGCGGCGTCTTACCAGGTCTCTGTAGGAGGAGGAGCTGGCGCATTGCTGCGTGACGCCCATGCAGAAGCAGGGCAGGCAGCCCTCGTGGCTCTCGGCGCTCAGGTGGAAGTGGCCGGCCCGGCAGCTGCTGCACGAGGGTCCCTCCGCGTTGGGCTGCGGGGAAAGGGGACAGCAGGGGTGAGCGCCTGGGCAGACGGGGCCAAGGGGAGCTCCTGGGAGAGCTGCAGAGGGGTCCCCCCACGCAGGGCTCTTCTCCACCCCCAGCACAGAGGATGCAGGGGTGGGGAGCCTGGGGTCTCTCGGTGCATGTCACCCCTCCCCGCCTTACCTTGCACCGGCACTGCCCTCTGGCATCGCACTGCCCACTCATGCTGCCCCGCGGGTCGCAGTGGCAGTCGCCGTTGCGGTCATCTGGCTCTGCAGCAGTGGGGCAGAAGGGCATCCGGGTGGGCAAGACAGAGGGGCTCCGCTCACCGCCTCCCACGACACTTGCCGGGCGCAGGCCCCGAGCCGGGCTCCCCCCAGCCCACTGCCCGCTGCCCCCACTCACCTCGGCAGGGCTGTTCACGGCTGGGGTCCCCCACATAGCCAGGAGCACATCTGGGGGCAAGGGTCATACTCAGAGCTGCCCACTCGGGCGTCTGCCCCTCCTGCCCCCATGTGCTCCACTCTCCTTCTCTTCCTCCCGGACCCCGCCAGGGGTTGGGCATGGGGGAAGGGGATCAGGTCAGCCCCAGGTACTCATCATTGCCCCCCCACCCCAAACTGACCACGGAGGCCCTTCAACACCAACAGAGGCAGCCCCAGTGCTATCGCTGAGACACCCCGTTCAGCCTCACCAGAGACCCCAGACCCGCCGTGAAAGAGCAGAAACCTTGCAACAGGGACCCGAGTGCCCCTGGGCACGGGGACGGCCGAGCGGGGACTCCCCCGGGCAGGTGCAAGGCCGGCGCAGAACCCAGCCCCCATGTTACCTCTCGCACTGGCGCCCGACATAGCCGGCGGCGCACGTGGTGCACGTGGGCTGCCCGTCCGTGTCCAGGAAGCAGACCTTCGTGGCCCTGAGGAAGGAGAAGAGAGTCATTCGGTGCCTGGCTGCCCCCCCCAGCCGGTGCAGTGAGGGCAGAGGATGCCACGAGGACAGAGGCTGCTGGGGGCACATACTGGCTGGCAGAATAGGGCCCGTGGCACGGGCAGGGCTGGCAGTCTCTGGGCGTCCCCCGACGGGCATCGCCGTAGTAGCCCGGCTGGCAGCGCTCGCAGCGGGGCCCCTCGGTGTTGTGCTGGCAGCTCTGGGGGGAAGAGGAGGTGTCGGGTACAGACAGGTTCCCTGACCCCCTGCTGCCCTCTGCAGAGTCCCTAATGGCCCCAGGGGCCGGCTCCGTGCTGGGACAGGCCCCACGCCCCCATGCCCCCACAGCACGTCCCGGCTAGGTGCAGGCGACGTCCCCCGTAGCTCACCTGGCAGTCCCCGGTCTCAGTGTCGCAGTCACTCGAGTGACCGCTACAGTCGCAGGGCTCGCAGGTACCCAGGTAGAGGCCACTGGTGGTGCGCGTGTAGCCCACGTCGCAGTCCTGGGGTTAACGGCACACGGCTCATCCCGTGCCCCACGGATAGGCAGGGTCTCAGCTGCCCCCAGGGCCAGGCAGGGACCCGGTGGCCTCTGAGCAGGAACCCCTTGGCCTCTGCCAGCCATGGGCGTGCTGCTTCTGGGCATGGAGGGGACTTCCCTCCAGCCAGGGCTGAGCACGGACCATGCCTTGCGGCCATGGGGCTTGACCTCCGCTGGCTCAGGCCAGTGACTCCCAGGGCAAGGGGGTAAGAGCTGGGGAGCTGCAGGCATCCTGCTGCCTCCTGACCCTCCAGCACCTGGGTGCAGACTGACCCAGCAGGACTCGGGCACCTCCGTTGCACCGGGGGCTGAATGGGCTCAGGGCAGGCCCCGATGGAGAGGTCAGCTGCAGCTCTAGCCATGCCAGTGTGACTGATAGCTCAGTCCCTCCGCCCCAGCATGTTTGGTGCGGAAAGGGGAGACGGTGCCCACTGACCTGGCAGGATGGGCCCCGGTAGCCAGTGGGGCAGGTGCACTCCTCCACCTCCAGCGCCTGCTCCAGGCCCGTGGAGTGGGGTACAGCCACATCCATGTGGATGTTGGAGATCCTGCGAGAGGGGAAACAGTGGGGCAGGTCAGCACCCCCTGGACCTGGTTGCCGCCAAGCCCATCCCATCACCTGCAGACTCCACGGGGGTCTGGGCAGGTGCAACGTGCTCCCCTGCACATGGCCAGTGGGCTCAGACCAGCCTGCGCCGTGCAAGGGAGCACCCACATTCCCTGGAGCTGCGGCAGGTCTCAGGGGGGTGCGAGAAGCCCAGCGCCTGGCAGACCCAGACCCTGGGGGTGCCAGATGCAAGCTTGGTTTTGCCCACAGCACCAGCCATCAGCCCTTCGCTCCTCCCTGTCAGCATCTCGGCCCCAGCTACCACCCAGGACAGCCCTCAACCTGCTCTGGCAGGACTAAAGAACAAAGTGCAGGGGAAAGAGAGGGGCCATTAGTAGCTTTCAAGCTCTCAGATCCCACCCCGAGGACAGCAGAGGGGCTGGGGGGCTGGCTGTGAAGCATGTCTAGGCATGCGTTGGTGTGTGTGCACAGACACACATTCGCGGATGCATGCAAATGTGCATGCGTACGTGTGCATGCCTGCGAGCCGGCATGCCTGCGTGCATGTGCCTGCCCGTGCCTTTGTATACGCATGTGCCTGGGTGCAGCTGTGTGCATGCCCACACCGGCATGCGTGCATGCACCGTGTGAGGCTGCTGCAGGACACCGACTCTCAGCCAGGTGGGCCGGACCTCTTGGCCCGTGGAAGCAGGCCTGGCTCCCACACACCCCGAGCGCCCCCAGGTCAGAGCCGAGTGCCGCGTGGGTGCCCACGGTACCTGCTGTCCGACGGCCGGTCGGTGTACGATGCCCGGATCATGAAGACGTTGATGTCGGCCAGTGCCATCAGCAGGTGTTCTCTCGTGGCATCCTGCCCGTCTGCCCGCTGCCAGGCTCGCTACAGGAGGGCAGGCAGACACCTGTGTCAGCCTTGCTCCCCCAAATCTGCACCCACCCAGGCCGGGCCTGAGCCACATGGGGCTGGAAGCAGCTGCACCCCCGGCTGGCAGGGGTTGTGCCTATTTCCAGCCCCAGGGGTGCACGGGGGCAGCCGGGCTCTCACCTCGCGGAAGGGCACGGTGATGGTGGTGGGGGTGCCCGGCGCGGGGCTGGCCTCAGCGAAGTGCTCCAGGAAGATGCCGTTGCCTTGCAAGAGCACGTCGGGCTGGCGGGGCAGCGGCTGGGAGCCCGGGAAGACGCTATGCGTGACCGTGTAGCGCAGCTCCCCACCGTACGAGGTCACCTGCCGGCGCAGCGCGGGGTTCAGGCGGGCGGACGGATGGATGGACACAGCTCGGCCAGGACAAGGACTCACAGGGCCCAGCCCAGCCTCTCCCACAGCCCACCTACCTCTAATGCACCCACTGCACCTCCCAAGGCAGTTCAGCCCCTTCCCCTGATCTCTGAAGCCCTCTCCCAGCACTGCTCAATGCCTGCCATGCCCCCGGCCAGAGTCTCCTCCGTGCACCCGGTGCAGGGGGCTCTGGAGAAGGCCGTGCTCGCCCCAGAGGCCCCAGGACGGGGTGCACCTTGTCTCCCTTGAAGCGCTCAGGCAGGACCCAGTAGTAGACGTCATGGGGCAGGGCGTGGAAGTCGGAGAAGGCCAGCTCGGACGGGCCGGAGAAGCGCAGGCCCTCGCTGACCGTGCGTGTGGTGGCCAGGTTGGAGAGGCTGAGCGGTGCCCGCTCGCTGTCCTCGTACACGGCTCGCACCTGGCACAGAGACCCGGCGGTCAGCCTGCAGTGGTGCCCCACACCCTGGTCCGAGCTCGCTCGGAGACAGACCCGGGGTGCTGGGAGCCACGAGGCCTGGCACTGACCTGGTCCCTGCTCCAGGAGGAGCTGGCGCACTGCCGCGAGACGCCCATGCAGAAGCACTTCAGGCAGCCGTCGGGGTTGGCGTTGCTCAGGTGGAAGGCCCCCGCCGCGCACTCGTTACAGAGACGGCCCCTCACGTTGGGCTGCGGAAGAGATGCCCACGGGCCGCGGCCAGTCAGGGACCCCCAGACAGCTGCCAGCCCTGGCCCCAGTGCCCTCCACGCTGCTTGGGAGTTTCATAGGGCAAAGCATGGACTGGCACCCCAGCTACCCTGGCCCTGGGGTCCTCTGCGCTGCTTGGGAGGGCAGGGCATGGCCCAGCACCCCAGCCAGGGGCCGCAGCAACCGGTGCCCGCCTCACCGTGCCCGTCCTGGGTTCATCTGGGGCAACAGGACCGTACCTTGCAGAGGCAGGTGCCGCCGGAGGAGTCGCTGCTGCCCCGCTCATCGCACTTCACGATCTCCTGGCCTGTGCGGGGGGAGGAGAGAGGCGTGCTTCAGTGCACAGATGGACAGATGGATGGACACCCCTCCCAGCGGGGACCCCTTGCCTTGCCTGGCAGGCGGACACCCCCGTTCACCGCGGCACTCACCGACTCTGGTGCACTTCCCGCCTGGCTGGATGGGGTTGCCTTCATAGCCCGGCGCGCACCTGCGGGGAGCGGACGAGGCGCGGATGGGTCAGATGCGACCCCGTGAGCTCCCCTGCCCGTCGCTGGGACTGACCCACCCCATGGCCGGCGCCCCCAGCACTCACTTCTCGCAGCGCCGCCCCGTGTAGCCGGGGGCGCAGGCGTCGCAGGTGGCCTGCCCGTCCGTGTCCAGGAAGCACGAGTCCGAGAACCTGCAGAGCACGTGGCGGACACGGTCACCCCAGCCCTAGCCGTGCCGAGGGGAAGCCCGGTGCCAAGAGGATGCCGGGGAAGGGGCTCACCTGCGTCCAGGCTCAGTGTAGGGGCAGGGGCAGGGCCGGCAGGCCGTGGATGTGCCCCGGGTGGCATCTCCAAAGAAGCCAGGTTTGCACTTGTTGCATTGGGGCCCCTCCGTGTTGTGCTGGCAGCTCTGGGCAAGAGCAGAGGCATTGGCATGGCCGTGGCAGAGAGGCAGGATGGGGCATTGAGACATCCCAGCAGGTGCTGGGCGGGGGGAGAGCAAGGCTGGGGTGCGGCACCCGCCCAGTCCGAAGACCCGAGCAATGCCCAAGCTCTTGTACAACTCCTCCCAACACCACCCTGCCCCCCTCCAACCCCACTGGGGTCCGAAGCCACGGGGTCCTTACCAGGCAGTAGCCGAAGACCTGGTCGCAGGAGCTGGAGTGCCCGTGGCAGTTGCAGCCAGAGCAGGTGCCCAGGTAGGGGCCCTCGGCCACCCGCTTGAACTGGGCATCGCACCGCTCGCAGGACAGGCCCAAGTAGCCGGTGGGGCACCTGCGGGAGAGCGCGGACAGCTGACAGCGGTGCAGGGGGCACCGGGGCCGGCTCCAGGATCAGCGCACGGCTGGCCCTGATCCTGCCATCCAGGTGCTGCACAAATCCGCCCCGGATGGGAGCAGTGAATGGCAGGGGAGTGGGCTCCTCTCTATAGGATCCCCCCAGAGCACCCTCCCTGGTGCCCCCCAAAGCAGCTCCCATCCCGGGAGGCACCTGCACTCCTCGACACCGCGCGCCGGGCCCAGGCTGGTGACCTCGGTCGTGGTGGTGTCCATGACTATGTCACTCAGCCCCACGCTGGCCATCCTGTTGTCGTAGACGGTCTGCAGCAGCACGCTCTCCAGGCGCTGCAGGACGACCAGCAGCTCTTCCCGGCTCACCGGCGCCCCCGACTCATGCACCCAGTTCTCCTGCAAAGGGCCGGCCGGGCCGGGGGTCATCGGCTCCGTGGACCCTGGCACAGGCTGGGATGCTCCCCTCGGGCACTCGGCACGGCGCAGAGAGCACCGAGGCAGCCCCAGCCTGTCCTACAAGGGTGCTGGGGGCAGCTGCCATGCTAAGGAGCTCATCAGGGCAGATGCACTTTCACCCCCAGCAGCAGAGCAAGCCGCAGGGGAGGTGACAGCAGCGTTGGGCGAGCAACAGGAGGGCACCCACGCTCCCCAACCCCCCGGTGCCCCAGGGAGGAAAGGGAGATGATGCCCCCCCGGGCAGGCTTTCCCAGGCGCAGGGCACTGCTGAACCCACCTCCGTGAACTGCACGCGGCGCTGGTTGATGGCGGATGGCTGGGTGGGCACTCGCGCCCGGTAGATGAGCTTCTGCCCGTTGCCCACGATGATCACGTCGGGTTTCTGCACGGGCTCTGGCTGCCCGCGTGCCACCCCGTAGCGCACTTTGAAGGTCAGGAAGCCACCATAGGAGTCCACCTGCCACGGCACCGGCTGAGATCAGAGCACCGCACACAGCCTGGGGCATCCTTCCCCCCCACACACCTCGCTGCCGGGCACTCTGGAAACCAGGCTCCTCAGCCTGGTGCAGCACGTCATTAAAAGCCGGCACACGTGGCTACCAGAGATGCTGGGAGCTCGGCCAGATCCACCAAGGGACCGGAGCCGTGCGTGGAGGAAGGGGGCATTGGTTGCTATTAAGCATGGGAGAGAGAAGCACGGCTTCTGAATCAGGGTTTCCCAGACCTTAAATACTGGAGCAGGAGGGAAAACCCTGGCCTGGCCAGACCCAGACGTGCTGCATGACACCAGAGCCTGGACAAGATGGACCGGGTCTGACCCAGTCCAGGGCAGCTCTTCCATTCTTGTCATGTTCCAAAGCAGGCTCCACGCCGGCGGCCCCCCACCCCGCCTGGCCCATCACCTTGTTGCCCAGGAACTGGGCAGGCAGCGCCCAGAAGGATTCGTGCACTAGGAACCGGCGGGACAGGTCGACCAGCTGGAACTCCTGCAGCGCGGGGTCGATCTGCAGCTGCGTGGAGGACAGGGGCAGCATCCCGGGCAGCGCCGGGGTCGTCACGTTCACACCTGGCCGGGGAAGCCATGCGGGAGGAGAGGCTCAGGTGCCCAGTGCGGTGCCTCAGCTCCCGTCAGGTCTCCTGCCCCTCCCTCCAGTCCTGCCCCAGGGTTTCAGACTCCGAGCGCAGCTGGAGGTGACGAGACCCCCGGCCACCTCCCAACGGCCAGTGTCACGGTCCCGGCTGCATCTGGCTTGCCTGGCTCTTGCACACTGGCCTCTCCCAGGGCTCGGGCAGCTGCCCAGCCCCATCTGCCAGGACTGGACCCCATGCCACCTATCCCCGCTCACCCTTGAAGTCCTCGGGCCTGTCGAAGCGGAGGCGGATCTGGTGGCGGTGGCGGCCGGTGCTCCGGCACGCCTTGGTGATGCCGAAGCAGAAGCAGGGCAGGCACTTGGATGTGCCCTCAATGTGGAAGTGGCCCTCGGAGCAGGGGCCTGTGGGTGGAGTGGAGACGTCAGCCGTGGGCAGCGCCGGCACCGTCCCAGCCGGGCAGGGGGTGCCCCGGGTGGGCACAAGCAGGGAACCCGCCACAGGCTGGGAACACCGCCCTTGGGCTCGGAGCCGCGCCGGACTCACCGCGCTGGGGCGTGAGGCTGAGCACGCCGTCAGGGATGCCGAACACCATGCCGCGGGCGTTGATGGCCTCGCAGGTGTAGGCGCCCTGGTCAGCCTCCTTCACATCCCGGATGATCAGTGTCCCGCGCCCCTTCTCGCTCGAGATGGACACTCTGGGGAGGTTGGAGGGTGGTCTGAGTGCCGGGGGGCCCTGCCGATGGCCCCGGGCACGGGCCCAGCCCGGCCACCGCACTGCAACCCTGCTGCAGATCTGCTCCCACACTGCAAGCCCACCACAGAGCCCCTCCTGCACTGCGACACTCCCTAGCACCGAAACGTCGCTGCAGAGCCTCTCTGGCACTGCAATGCCAACTCCACTGCAGAGCCCCTCCCAGCAACGGGAAAGGTGCACCACCTCCGCATGCTGCACAGCTTCCCATCCTACCCCCACTGGCTGGGAGCACTGGACCCACCTCCTGCCAGCGGGGATGTGCCCCCAGTTGAGCCTCCAGGTGATGATGGGCGTGGGGACGCCGATGGCCACGCAGGTGAAGCGCACCGTCTGGCCGGGGAAGGCCTGGATGGACTCCTCAGGGGGCGTGATCACCTGGGGGGGTGCTGGGGGTGGACCGAGGGGTGAGGAGGGCTCCCCTATGGCACCCCCAAACCAAGGAAGCAGACATGGCTTCCCCCAGCCCCTCATGGAGGGCAAGGGTCTGCCACCCTCCACCCACACCCCACAGCCAGGACCCCCACTCACTGCAGCCAAACTCGTCGGAGCGATCGGGGCAGTCGACCTCCTCGTCGCAGTGGTAGCTGGCAGGGATGCACGTGCGGTTGGACACGCAAGTGAACTGGTTGGGGCCGCAGGTGTCACCGGGGGCCTTGGTGGCTGCAGGGACAGAAGCGTTAGCGGGCAGGGGCAGCACCGCACAGCATTGCCGCCAGGTCCCCAACACCCCCTGCCCTTGCGCACGCAGCAGCACGGTGCCACCTCCTCCAGCGTTGGCAGGAAAGAGGCCAATCTGGCCAGCACAGGTCTGAGACCAGCTGTAGTGCAGTGGGGCTGCAGTCCTGGAGCAGCTCTGCAGCAGGGCTACAGTACAGTGGGTTGCAGCGTGGAACGGGCTCTGCATTGCAGCGGGGCTGCAGTGCAGCAGGGTGGCACCCTCGGGTCACGCCACTCCCTTGGGCATCCCGTGACCCACCCCGCTGCCCGGAGCCAATGGGCAGGTGCACTCACGGCAGCCCATCTCGTCAGAGCCGTCCCCGCAGTCGTTGTCGCCATCGCACAGCCACAGCTGGAGGGCGCAGTACCCGTTCCGGCACTTGAACTCGTTGGGCTCGCACGGGCTGGGGGTGCCTGTGCACGAGACGGGAGGGGGGTCGACAAAGAGTTTAGATGATGGCTTTAGGGTTTGATCCTGCTTCAGGCAGGGGTTGCACTAGACGTGCCCTCTGCAGCTCCTTCCAGCCCTGCTTCTCTCTGCTTTTTCCAGCTGCCCCTCCTGCCAGGACCCTCCAGGCCCCATTCCTGCCTGCCCCGTGGTCTGTGCCCTCCTGCCCCACACCCCGCGGCCTCACCGCATCTCCGCTCATCGCTCCCGTCGGCGCAATCCTCTTCGCCATCGCACAGGTAGTCGTGGGGGATGCACTGCTTGTTGGCGCACACGGCCTCGTCCCGGCGGCAGGGGCGTTGCTCCAGGGGGTGCTGCCCCGAGGGATCGGTGGGGCGGAAGGGGCCAGGAAAGGGGGTCAGTGGCCGCCGCGTGGTGACTGTGGGTGTGGTGGGGGTGGCGGTGGTGGCTGGCATCCGAGTGGTGACGGGCCGGGCCATGGTGGTGATCGGCAGGGGCAGCGTCACGGGCTCCCATTCTGCGGGCAGACGGACCCCAGGAGCATTAGGAGCCGCGGCCCAGCCCCGGAAACCCAAGCAGCTTTGCTGGGCGTGCCAAGAGCTCGGGCACACAGGGCACCAGCTCAGCCTCTGGGCCCTGGGGGCACGGTGCCCTGGCAAAGGGATCTGGGGGACTTTGCTAACACCAGGGTGCATGCGCTCTGTTCCCGCAGGGACCCCCACCCTGGAGCCCCCAGTCCAGCATGTGCCCGGCTGGGAGCCCCCAAGACCTCCCAGAGATGGGCCTTGGCGGGTTCTGCTCCCAGCTCTTGCCTGGGCCTCCCCCTGCCTGTTTCCCCATCTCGGTGGGGTGCAGGAGCCACCCGTGGCTCCCGTGGGAGCTGTGGTCTCGGGGAGGGAAGGCGCACCCCCAAGGCGCTCACCGCAGTCCTCCTCGTCTGACATGTCGCGGCAGTCGGGGCGGCGGTCGCAGAGGAAGTCGCGGTCCACACACTCCCCGCTGCGGCAGGTGAACTCCTCGCTCGTGCAGGCTCGCACAGCCGGCGGCATCACTGCAACGGGGCCCGAGTCAGAGCCAGGCCTGGCCCCTTCCTGCCCGGCTCCCGGAGCCTGCTGCACACCCCTCACCTGTGGCTGCAGCCCACCCCCAGGGCTGCGTGCGCCCCGTGCCCTGCCCCTCGGTCCCAAGTCACAGCACGGTCAGAAAACACACACTGCACACACTCAGGCAGCAGGGACACGTGACACGGCACGCCAGCCTGGCCACATGCATGCCACGGGACTTGCCAGGGGCATGCATCAGACAGCATGAGGCACACGCGTGCGGGCGCACATGCAGAGCACATATGCCAGGCGGCAGAGAGGCCATCCGTCTGCCGCGGCGAGAGTCCAGCACAAAGGACCCTGGTGCCAAGCACTCTCCGGCTGCAGGGCCAAAATCTTCACGGTGCAAGGCAACCACCCCGCAGACGCTCACGGCACAGCATGGCGCAGGCAGACCGGGGGGAACCTGGAGCCTGCTGCTCGCCCGTGGGGGCCGGGACAGAGGGGAGCTGGCCTGCACATCTGGAGCTGGCTGAAAGCAGCTGGCAGCACAGCTGGCACGGGCAGGGCCCAGGGGAATGTCACTCTGCAGACACTGCTCTCTCTGGCAGCTTGTACCAGGATCGGGGCCCGAGGCGCTCTCAGGCTGGCAGGGGCACGCCCTGAGCTGCAGCCTGGAGGGAGCAGGGTCCCGGCCAAGCCCAGGCTCCAGCTTCCCCCGCACGTGGTCCGCTCTCACCCCGACTCACCCGGGGGCTCCACGGACACGGGGGGAGGAGGCCTTTCGGCTGCAAGTGAACAGAGGGGGCTCAGGCCGGCGGGACTCCCTGGCTCAGCCCAGCACTAGCCAGAAAGCAGCTCCCCAGAACGACACGTGCCCTTCGCTCTGCGCCTGACTACCAGCCGGGCTGCTGCAGCGATGCCGTCCTGCATTGCATCTCCACCCTGCGGGCTGGTGAGAGCCTGATGCTGCGACGCAGCTGCTAGGGACAGGCCCACACGCCGCCAGGAGCCGACCTCAGCTCGGTGCCCTCCGGGTATCCTGACAGGGCCACTACCCTGGGCACCCTCCGCTCACCTGCCCCGAGGCGTCGAAACTGGAAGCCCTCAGTGGAGGTGACGTAGGAGGCGATGGAGCCGGCCTGGATGACCGAGTAGAGCACCTGGCGGATCTCCTCGTCATCCATGTTGCCCTCTGAGCCCACGTCCAGCTCCACGAAGATGTAGCCGTCCATCTCCCTGGCAGAGGGGGGTGGGAGTGAAGGGGCGTGCATGCACCCACGTACACGCCCTGCCCCCATGCCGGAGCTAAAATGCCCCGATTCCTGCCGGGGCTGGATGCCCTCTGGGCAGAGTGGGCCTGTCCCAGCTCTGGTGCAGGGGCTTGTTGGAGGGGTTGCATGCCAAAGGCTGTTGGAGATGCATGCCCCCCATCTAGGGAGAAGTGGGGGGCTTCCCCAGTCCCCAAGCCCTGGCCCCGACTCACTTGATGAACACCACGCTGACCACCTGCTCCCCGGAGATCTTGTAGTACTCGGACTCCAGCTGGGAGAGAGGGAGGCAGCGTCAGGGGTCTGTGCCCACCATGCCCCAGATGGCCCCGAGGCCATTAAGTGCAGCCACGGCCTCCCCCATCCCACCTGGCCGCGGAAAGCTGAGCCCTGCGTGCCCCGACAGGCTCCTGCCGCAGGTCTGGGGGCTCCGGGAAAGGCCGCCACAAACCCCCTTAGCAAGGGCGGCCCTGGGGCGGGCACCCCGCGGCTCCTCAAACAAGAGGGCAGACAAACCCGGTGGGGGGCCGGGGCTCACCGTGTCCACCACCGCCTCCGAGACCTCCCGGAAGGTGCTCGAGTTGGCATCATCCAGCGCCGGGCTGTAGTCGATGCTGCGGGTGAAGTTCACCAGCGCACGGTAGTAGACTGGCGAGGAGGGGGAGAGATGCTGTCAGTGCAACTGCAGGGCGCTGGGTGCCCACGTCTGGGGCTCACACCCGCCAGCCCCGACGCGGCGCGGCTGCCACACTGCAGCCGCTTAGGGCAGGAAGCGAGGGGCCGACGGGGCCCGCTGGGAAGCTGGGTTAGTGCCGGCCGAGACAACAGCCGCTCTTATAGTCTGTAATGACCCAGGGACGTGCAGGGTGTTCACGGGCATCCCCCACAGATCAGTGCCCGTGGGGATCGTGGCTGTGCGGCCCAGCAGCAGTGGCGTGGCGTGCCCACTGCCCACCCACGGCCAATGCAAGGGGATGAGAGGGGTCATTCCCTGCCCCCAGATGCAATGCCCAGTTCGGGTCTCACCAGGCTGCAGGGGCAGCCGGCACCCAGTGCCCACAGCTGGAAGCAGCCTGGGGGCAGCCGGTGGACCCCACCCCCGACTTTCACATGCGCCCAGTGCCAGGACAGCCCCAGCTGGGAGCCGCTGCCCCGCGCGGCCCCCTCCGGCAGCTGCTGCGCTGCAAGGGAGGAGCAGCATGGACAGCGCTTGGCTCCGCGCCCCCGTCTCCCGGCGGACGGAGCCAGCACCTGGGCTGGGAACGGCGCCGGAGCAGACCCCGTCAGCGCAAGAACCGCAAACGCACTGCGACCCACCTCCCCAGCCCGCGCGGACGCCCCGGCCCGGGGAGCTGCGGCCGGGGGCTCGTCCCCGGGGCCTCATGCGGCTGCTGGCACGTGGCCCCCGCCTCGTGCATTCCCGAAATTCCTCCCCGCTCACAGCCGAGCCCTTCCCGGGGTGGGTGCAGCGAGCTGCCCGTGGGGAGGCCGAGGCGGTGCCAGGCTCCCCTCTCACAGAGCCGGGGCTTGCGTCCCGGGGTGCCCTGGCGGCACCCCCGCTCCGGGGACCCGGGGAACACAGGGGCACTTGTGAGGCTGGACAAAGGGCCCCTTGAGAGCAGCATCCCAGGGCTTGGCCCTGCGACCTCGGGGCAGGGCTGTGCGGCTCACCCCCGAAGAATGCGGCCCGGCGGCCCCCGTGAAACGGGCTCTTTTAGACACCAGCTCCTGCTACAAAGCCTCTTTCTTGCTCCCGAGCTGCGGTGCGCCTGGATGGGGGTGGCCGCTTGGAAGTGGTGACCCCCAAGCCAGAGCTCTGCCCTCCAGCCCCTCACTCTGGACTCGGGCCAGCATGACCTCTCCTGTTGGGGAGCACGTTCCCCACAGGTCCCGGGGCTGGCGGATGGGGAGAAGGTGGCACCGGGGCACGAGGACACTCTGCCCTGCTTGGGTGCCAGCAGGAGCTGGTTGCCCGGACCTTGCCCTCTGTGCACACGCATCCCTCGTCCCAGCTGACCAGCACCCAGGCCCAAGGGACCTGCAGAAGGCTGCTTGCAGTTGCCATGGCCTGGCCCCCACCCCGTGCATATGTGCACACGTGGGATGAGGGTTCATGCGCCAAAGTAGGCGTGTGCATTTTTGTGCAAGGTAATGATGCAACACAGCTTGTGCCTGCCCCGTGCCACATCCCCCGCATTGCACATGCAATGTCCCGTGCCTGCCATGGTTACAAGCCGTGGCCCTGAGCTCCATCCCTGCTCAGAGCTGGGCCCGGCTGCAGGAAGCCCAGCCTGTTCCAGGACGTCCCAAGCAGCCACTCTGCCTCCTTTTAAGGAGCCCTTGGGGCTCGGTCTTGTTTTGTTTGCAACTGCCTGGGGAAGGAGATGGAAAAACACTCCAGGCTACAGAACAATTGCACAGAGCGTTGGACTTTCCGCCACGCATCCGGCCAGCTGAGTCACCTCTCCGGCACGCTCGCTGCAGGACAGGCCGGAGACCCCTGGATCCCGGTCACCTGGCAAACACCCCGGGGAATCACCCTGAACGCAGCACCTGAGCACGGGCCCCTCAGCAAAAGTACACCTGCCGCAGCTCCAGACCCGCTCGCTGCTCGGGGCCGCGACAGGCTCAGCAGCTCTCGACCCGGCTAGACTCTCGTCCGCCTCGGAAAGGGCCAGCGCTTGGCTTTCGCTCGTGTTTGGACTATGCAAAAAAGACTACTGGTTGCAAAGGACTCAGGGAGCCCCTGCGGTGGCGATCCTCTGGATCCCTGGTTGAAATCCCTGCATTTCCCATGGAAATTGCCTAACGCTGCACACCTCGTGAGTCCCTGGGTGAGGACAGCTGGTCCAGAGACAGCCCGGTTCGCAGCAGAGGGGCGAAGGCCCACGAGGCACAACAGCGAGCTCCTCGCTCTCTAGCTCCCTGGACTCAAAGTTCCCTTCCCCAGCTGGTTCCCAAACCCGACCTTGCAGGAGAAGCACCAGGGGCCGGAGAGCGGGAGGGTCTGGCTGCCTCGCAGCCCTGCAGGAGAGCACCCTGAGCCACGCTGCAGCCACGGGACAGTGCCGTGCGGTCCACGCGTGCCTTTCCGAGTCACGAGACGTGGCTGTGGCCCAGTGCCCAGCGCCCGTTTCCTTCCTGCCTGGACAAGCATGGGGAAGACACGGGCCTAAGAAGGGGACTTTTATGGGCCTGGCTTGGCTGCCGTCCCTGGGCGATGGCGCTGCCTCTGCCTGCGTCAGGTCTCAGCGCGTCCTGGGGACTCGCGCAGCATCCGCGGAGCCCACCAAGCGCTCCCCCCTCCCCTGCGCGGTGCCAGACCTTGCAAATCTGAGTCTCTTCCAGAGCTGCCCGCCCTGCACCTGCAGGAGCCTGTGACGGGGAGGAGGGCACTGCCAGGATGGGGGATCACGACAGGGGCTACAACCCCCCGAAGACGCCCTGGGGCCGGTGAGGCAGCAGCATGGGGGTGCAGGGCTCCTCTGCACATGGCCCCGGGCCCAGGCTGACATCAGTGAGCTGGAGGGAGTTCAGGGATGAGCCATAAAACTGAGGAAAGTGCTGGAGGCAACGACTTATAAGGAGAGAGGAGAGGAGAGGAGCGGAGCCCGCCCATGCTCAGGGAGCCCCCGTGCCAGCCAGGCTGCCCGGGGCCACGATGGCACCAGTGCAGGACCCGGGCGGCAGCGAGGGACACTCCCTGCCTTGACCCTCGTGCCCTGCTCTTCTGTGGGGCTGGGCTCCCCTGGAGGACTGCTTATCCCATGATGCACCATGGCCAGCCCCCCCGGGGTGTACCAGTCGCTTTGTGCAGTGGATCATGAAGGAGAGGAGAAGGGGTGCACAAGGCACCACACAGTGACTCCCCGAACCCGTGCGGCACCTTCGACAAGCGGGTGATGTTAGCAAGCAAACTTTTGTCCAAAAAGTGGAAGTTTTGCATGGAAAAGAACCACGTCTTCCACCCAGCTGCAGCACAGCCCACGTCTACCCCCATCTGCTCCAGGACAGCCCACTTCTGCCCCTGCCCGTAGCCTCCACGCCCACGCCACTGCCACAGGCACCGCAGAGCTTCTCCCTTCACTTACTGAGCGGGGCATCGTCGTCCGGTTCAGACACGGTCATCCCTGCTAGGGGGGGCAGCCCCGCGGGAGCGGGGACCGCCGCTGATGGGGAGGAAGACGAGGGGACAGAGAGGGACAGGACAGGAAAGGAAAGAGAAAGGTTTGCAGTTACCAAGAGAGAAACAGCAGCAATGGCCGCGGGAGCTCAGAGCTGGAGTTGCCAGCCCCACAAAGGCGGCATGCAGAAAGAGAGGAGACAGCTAAGAGGAAAGGGGTCCCGACCCCACAAGAGCACCCCCCGGGCAGTGCCATACCGCCCCCCACACCACCGCAGTAGCTGCCCCTGACTGCCCAGCACAAAGCTGAGCTCCCCCTGGACAGGGCGGCATGTCGGCCACGGGAGACGCGGGCACAGAGCCAACCTAGGGACGGGCTTTCACGGGGCTTGGTGCAGGGATGGGTGCAGCAAGGTCCCCTGACCCCACGCCCAGAGTCTCACACACCTGCCCCCCACGTTACCCCGACCCTGCACACAGCGTCCCCAGCCCTCTGCTGCTGCACCCTGACCCCACCTCCCCGTTGCTCCCAGGCCCTAGAGAAGATGTGGACACGGTTGGGGACTCTAATGTGTGCAGCCTCTTGCCCTGGTCCAGCTCCATGGCTTGCAGGAAGCGTCGGCGGCTGGAGCAGCTCCCGCTGCCTGCACTGCGTGGGGGCAGCTGGCATGGGAATCTGTCCCTGGCACAGCCTCACCCACCGCCTTTCCCAAACTGCTGCCCTGGCTAGCTCCCATGGACGGGGCTAGGACACGCTGAACGCTCAAGTTCAAGGCCAGGCAATGCACTTCCAGACACCATCCCAGCAGCTGGCGTCTAAGTCCTACTCTGCTGGGTGCTGAGTAGGGCAGAGATGCCCGCCCCGTGGCCCGGTCCCGGGTGCAGCCACGAGCATGTGCACTGCGTACATAGGTGCAGCCCCGGCCCCATAAGAGGCACTCCCCGAAGCTGGTGTGTGCCCGGGCAGGTGCGCGTGCCCCAGCCAGCTCTCCAGAGGACACGGCTGCTCCCGCCCAGTCCGAGATGTTCTCTGCAGACGGCCGCAGGCACCGGGCGCTGGTCCCAGGCTGGCAGGGCCCCGCCGGGAGCCTCAGGAATGCTGGCCACAGCAATGCTGCCTCTTGCCGTGGCCAGACCGGACGGGCTTGGCCTCGCCAGGATCCCAGGACACTCGGTGGAGGCCATGGCTCAGGCTGGGCACGCTTTGGGAAGTCAGAACCAGCCCCCAGACTCTCACTGTCTGCCCCATTGCCTCCGTAAGTGGCTCTGGGCTCAGGTTCACAGCTGGCCCCTTACCTGTGGGGAAGACCATGACTTCGGGCTGCGCGGTGGCGTGGGGCAGCACGCCCGGCAAGGGAGTCCCACTGCCATTCTCCCCGCTACCGTTGCCGTCTGAAAGGGAAGCAGATGGGCCGTGTGAGCAGGGGCTGGGGCCAGCGGGTGCAGTGCGAGTATAAGAGCTGCCGTGGAGGGGGTCAAAGCACAGAGCGGTCTCTGGTATCGCACAGTGGGGGCTGCGAGGGAGTGGGACTGGGTCTGACCAGGGTTTTTTCCTCTCTCCCTTGCAGCCTCCAGCATTCAAGGCCTGATGCAGAGGCCGTGCCCCTCACTCCCCTACTCCACGGCTCCCGATGCCCCTTTCCTCCAAGCCCGTGTCCAAGCCCTTGGTGAATCGGGTGGCACGCTCAGCTTCCTGCGCGCCTGGTGCCCACGAGCTCTACCCTGAATCCAACTCCCCACTGGGTGACAAATGAGTTTCCTTGTGCTTAGTTTAAACTGCCCGCCTGCTGTTTCCACGCACTGACCCCTCGCCCTGGTCTGGGGACGGAGAGCTCATCATGAACCCCGAGGGACTTCTCTTTGCCATTTAGTACGTCGTAAACCCTGATCCTGTCCCTCCTGAACAGGCCCCTTCCATGTCTCCTCGCATGGAGGCCCCCCCATGCCTTGTTGCCTGTCTCTGGATCATCTCTAGTTCCCCTACTCCCTTTGGGATGTGCGGGGACCAGAGCTGGGCATGGTACTCAAGGTGCGGATGTGCCATGGATGTATAAAGGGGCACAATGATGCTTCCTGGGACGGGGATGTGTGCTACTGTTCCCGCTTGCTGACGGGCTGGGCCAGGTTCCTGGAGGTCTTGGGGAACATCTCTGCCCAGAGCTGGGTGGCCAATGCATCCCATATTCCTGCTGCTATCTCCATCAGCAACAGGGCCGCTGGCCTCTCCCCGGGCAGGCGGTGCCCTGGTGTAGAGGGCTCTCCGCTGCTGAGCGTCCCCGTGGGGGCATTACCTCCCGAGGCCTCGTCCGCCAGCAGGTCCTCGTCGTCGGAGAGGTCGGTGTAGCTCCACCTGCGCCTGCCCGCGTGGTCGGACTCTGTGTCCTCAGGGAAGGAGGCATCGTCCAGCGTCCTGGCTGTGTGGGCCACCTGCCGGAGAGACGTCCGGAGAGTGTCAACCTTTCTCCTCGCCACCCAGGTCAGAGCAGCGTCAAGGGGGCAACTCGGCCGCCATGACCCCAGCACGTCCGGACAAGGGAAACCCTCCCTCAAGCCACAGTGAGGCCTCCCCTTCCTGCACCAGTCAGTGCCTCTGCACCGGGTACTGGCTGCACTGGTCCTATAACCCTGCAGCGCAGGGGCAGGTTGGGGCCAGGGTCAGTGGTAGCAGCTGCTAAGCTGGTCTCAGCCCTGAAGCACGGCGGACGCATGGCCCCTTGCAATGAAGCATGTGTGTATCTGGCTCCAGGGCAGCAGCTGCCGTTTTATAGCCTGGCTCCGTGTGGGGAGAGCCCCGATGTTGGGCCCTATGTCTTTGGAGCAGGGCACGGCAAGCAGGAGGCGGCAGGAATCGCCCATCTCTCCCTTGCATGTGATGGAGGCACCGGTGCTAAGAGGCATCCAGCGGGGAAAGCAGCCAGGGAGAGACAGGGGTGGTTGCATGGGGCTGGGGGCAGCTAGCCTGGGCCCTGGCGTTGCAGGAGCCCATTTGGAAAGCACAGCTACTGTGTGGCTGGGCTCAGGGGACGAGCGTGCGAGCCCGGCTGAGACCGTCCCGCCAGCCTGGGGGTCTGGCACTGGGTGCACTGCTTACTGCACGGGCACAGGCTGGCGAGGGGACTGGGCCCAGCCGTCACAACCACGGCCCCCTGCCCCAGGGCTGGAGCTCCAGCTGCTGGGACAGGGCATGGCTGCAGTGGGACACCACAGAGGAGAGGGGGAAACAACTCGTGGCAGGGGAGGATGGGATGGGGGTCTTTTCCAGCCAGGCTGGACGAGCTAGAGGAGAGCCGGGGACAACAGAGCTTCCTCAGTGCTGTGACGTGACCAGCTCCACCACATCCACGGTGCTTAGCATTGGTCTGTGTGTGCCGCCTGCCCGGCTGGCGACACCAGAGCTGGTCCCGTCCCCTCCCTGGCCTGCCTCCCTCCTGCCAGCGCAGCCTGGCGCTCGCAGCACGGCTCCTGGCCAGGGCCTGCCCCGCATAACTCAGCCGTCAAGTCATCCCCGGCTGGGCTGGGCTGGCCTGGGAGAGACGGGCAGCGGCAGTGAGCTCATCTCCCCGCAGCCACCCACCTCGCATTCTTGGGAACCGGGGCGATGGGGTCAGCGCAGCCATGAGCCGCCAGCACAGACAGGAAGGAGGAGGTAGCTTCCCCGCAATCCTCCGGAGCTGGAGCTGTACACTCGCAGCTGACCCGTGCACTGGGGCCAGCTCGTGGAGCAAGCCAAGGACAGGGGGACCAACACCCCCAGCCACAGCTGGACGATGCACAGCTGGTCATACCCAGGAATGGAGCATCTTCAGCCCCAGCCCCGGGCACCCCAGCACCTCTGAGCTCCCCCGGCCTGGGTACAGCTGCTGGGCTGGGCTGGGCGTTGAGGCGGGCAGCAGGGGGCAAATCCCTTCCCGATGCAGGGTTTGTTCCCAGCCCTTTGGGAGCCAGACGATCCATGCGGATGGCTGCGCTGAGCCCAGAGGGAGTGGCTTGGCGTGGATGCACACGCACATGCATACATGCATGCAAACACACGGACATGCTGCACAGTTCCTGGTGCTGGCATGGCCTCCCTCTCCCAAGCTGCTTGGAGAGGACATGGGGCTCTCTCCGCTCCCACCCCTACCCCCATGTCAGAGGAAACCCAGCCCCTTCCCACCCTATCAGGGGGTTGCATGCAGGAGGCCTTGGAGCTGGTCCACTTTCCCGCTTGTTTCTCTGGCCGGTGATGGAGGGGCTACTTTGCGCCTCCACCTTTCACAGAGACTGCTTTTCTCCCAAGCGTTCGTTGGACACGGGCGTTACACAGTAGGGTTAGGAGCCCACTCCCCTCTGCCACACAAGCAGCCACGGGCTGGGGGAAATGCCCAGCTCCCGCAGCACAAGGGGCACGAGTCAGCTGCTTTTCCCCCTTTGGACCCTTCTGTGTCAATGCACCAAGAGCACCCGTGCATCAGGCCTCCAGGGCATGTGACCAGCCCCGTCTGCGCCGGGTACCCAGCTCCAGCCACTTCGCAAGATAAACTTTGCCCCGAGCTCCAAGGTATCTGCAGCTATCCAGACCCCAGCAGGGCTTCCCCCAGCCATCCAGGTGTGCCCCGACACTCTGGATTCCCTGCACTGCAATGAGCCAGGCCCCTGCGCCTGCCTGGGGTCCCAAGTGGCCCCTGGGTGCCAGCTCCACCCCAGAGGTGGCTGCATTTCCAGGCGTGCGTCCATGCACAGAGCAACTCTGCTGGCCCCGGGGGAGGGATGGCAATGGCCCGATCTGGACAGCCTCAGTGCTGCTCCCTTTGCTGGCTGTGGGGGAGATCCAGAAGGTATCAGCAGGAAGGGCAAAGGGGTCTGGCTCCCATGCACAGACAGGGCCATGCCCCTCTGGCTCCTCTGCTCTGAGGGGCAAGGAAGGGGTGCCTCCTGTCCTCTCCCCAGGGCTCACGGCCCCCTTCCTTTCCTGCTTTCCCTCAGTTAGAGCCTCCCTGCACCCTATTCCCACCCAGCTGCCCCGGGGCCCATGTGGGGCTCCCCTCCCGGCACTGGCTGGGAGCTGGCCCCGCGCCCCGTCCCCACGGGCAGCGCAGGGGCTGGTGCATCAGACCGCGACGAGGCAGGAATTCGTCAGAGCAGCACTTTCCTGTGCAAACACATCGAGCTTATTATGGCAGGGTGATCAGCGCCGGGACAAAGGGAGAGGACAGAAACATAAAAGGTATTTAATCAACCCGGGCTGCCTGAATGGGCGTGAAAAGCCCGAGGGGAAACTGGAGCTGGCAAGCTTTGCAGTCTGCAAATGCCAGCGTGGCACCGTGCCAGGCTCCACGCACCCTCGGCCCCCGGCACGGCTACGCTGCGCACACGCCGGGAGCCAGGGGCCCAGATCCACCCCCGAGGCTGCCCCCCACCAGCTGGGCACCGCTCCTGGGGCGAAACGATGCTGCCCATGGAAAGGCACCGGTGAGCCCAGCCACCAGCCTGCCGCAGATAGCACGCCGGCACGAGCGCAGCCACGGCCAGGGAGCTGGTCTGGAGACAGCATCAGAGCAGGGGGGATGCTCTGCCTAGGCCTGGCCCAGGCTCCAGGACCCCAGCCAAAGCTCTGGGGCTCACAGTCTTCAGGCAGGTCAGGATAGGGCTCGTGGACCCCAACCAGGCAGTGGGCACGCGGTACGATACCCGTACGGTAGTTCGCGAGGGACCACAGCCCTGACCGCACCAAAGCAACTGTGCTGCAGGGCACTGGCAGCTCCTCGTCTAGCTAAACGTCTGACGGGGGCTGCCGGAGTCCCCAAGCCTGTGCTAGGGTGCCTCACACCCCTGACTAGTCCTGAGCACCGCAGCATCCCTGCGGGGTCTGGGCGCAGCCAGCTCTGCCGGGTGCGAGGCCGAATGTCCTCAGCTAGACAGGACCGCCCGGGACTGCCCAGCCAGGACGCCCCGCTCCCTCCTGCAAACTGGTCCAGGATGAAGGCCGTGGCCTTGAATCAGCCACAGGCATAATGCCGCCCTTTGCATCAAGCGGGGGTCACGGCTGTGAGGGCCAAGAGCATGTTTCGCATCTCCAGAGCCAAGCGCAGCATGAAGTGGAGGGCCGTGCAGCCCACGCTGGCCATACCCCCAGCCCGGGCGCCGAGGGGGCAGTCAGGGACACAGCTCTGCCACGAGGCGCCACCAAGGCCCAGAGCCGAGCAGGATGGTCGTATGGGCTGGCTGTCCAGAGCCAGCCACGAATAACCCCCACGAGACCAGGTTTCCCCCAGCTGGGTTGCTCCACGCCCCTCCCCAAAGGCCCCTATTTGGCTGGCTGGCAGGGATGCACTTGAGCTGGTCCACGCGGGACAGAGGGCTCGTGACACGAGACCTCGCTCCCAGCCCCAGTTGGCGTCAGACACAGGCGCGTTCATCCCCGAAGAGCAGAAAGAGCAAAACTCCTCGTGACCTCGCCCGCCGGAGGTGACGGAGCCGCACGGAGGGAACGCATCCAAGGCTTCGGCTTCTCCCTGGTGCCGTGGAGCCTTCCCCGCCAGCTGCAGCCAGCAGCACCTCCAGCCCCGGCCTCTCCTCCCCCTCGTGCAATCTGTGGGCAAGCAGCTGGAGCCCCCGAGCCCTGGCACAGCCCGCTCTGGAGCCCCCCGGCCCACTGCCCCGAGGGGGAGCATCTGAATAGCGGCCCTGCCCTGCCGGCTATGTCACCGCCCGGCGCTTCGAGGCATTCGGCCCCGGCCAGCCCAATACGCGCCCGGCCCGCTGGGTCGTCCGCAGTGAGGCCTGGCGTTTAAAGCGATGAGGCATGGGGTCGGGTCCAGCCCCACCTCCCACCGAACGGGGCATCTGCCCCATTGCAGCAGGCCCCAGGTAAGAGGCTGGCAGCAGCAGTGACCCCTGGTAGAGAGATCCCAGTGCTGGCACCGGGCCCGGCCTGGTCACCCCACACTTCCTAGGGGCTCGCATATGGGTCCCAGGGGTCAGATGCTACTTGGGGCCCGGGAGAGCCGGATTCGAATCCTGCTCCTCCGCAGGCACTGGGCGAGCGACGCAGCTTGGCTATGGCAGCTCACCACTGACATAACCCGTCAAAGCCGCTGAGCAGCGAGGGCACAGGAAGGAGAAGGCTAATTAGCTACCCCGACCCAGGAGGAGGGCCGGCTGGGGTCTTCAGGCATGATCAGCGGGGACAGCGTGACCCCCTCCGACACGACGGGCTGGGGTCTGGCTGTGTTTGGGGGTAGCCCCCGAGGAGCTGGTGGCTGGGAGAGGGGTGTCTTAGGTGCCATTGGGTGGGGGTGGGGGTCCTTCAGATGCTATTGATTGGTGACATAACCTCTAGAGTGCTATTGGCTGGGGGTGTGGGTCCCTCAGACACTATTGGTTGGTGCTGTTACCTCTACGGTGCTATTGGTTGGTGGTGCAGGTTCCTTAGATGCTATTGGCTGGTGACAACTTCTAGGGTGCTATTGGTTGGGGGTATAGGTCCCTCAAATGTTATTGGTTGGTGACAAACTCTTGGGTGCTATTGGTTGGGGTTGTGAGTCCCTCGCGTGCTACCGGTCGGTGAAGGTCCCTCGGGTGCCACGGACTGGATACCCCCTTAGTGTTACCGGCTCAGGCAAGGCCCCCAGAGCACGGTGAGCTGCAAGACGCCGTGCCGCGGC